TCATATTATTCCAAGTTTCCAACGCGTTTAATGTGGGAACCATTAAGGTTTTAGTAATCTGAAAAGCGAGTCTTTCCAAAAGAGCTCTTTCAAATCATAGCGGAATAACTCGATTACCTGTTATTATGCTTTATTAACCAGCTAAATGATTACATCGACCCTAAAGCAATTGCGAAGACCATTATTGTGGTTCCTGGGATACTCAATTTGCTTATATCAGCGTCTCTTCAACAGTTTTGCTGTTAAAATAACCGACAATAAAAAAAAAATTGCTATAAAATTTCACCCGGTTAGACAACAAATTACTTTAATATCTTGACATTTATGGTACTTTATGTCAATGTTGTAAAGTAAGTAATTGAAGGCAATTGCTACCCACAGAATGAAATCAATAAGACAAAAATAAAATAAAAAATAAAAAACCTAATTACATTAAGTTTTCTAATCCAATCGTTAGTGCTATAACAAAATTATTTTTCAGTGAATTCAAAAACTAAAAAACAAAATATCCAATTTATGAAGATATGTCGATATTTTTGTAGCGTTGCACCATTGAGCGGTCAATTATTTTTGTGTCAATTGACCGAAATAATTTTAACAATACAATGAAATTTGTAATTACCCATTTATATTTATATATATTAAATAAAAATGATTAAATAGATATTTATCTAATAAGTATTAATAGTCTTAGTGTTTAGTGAGAAATAAACACCATCACTTTTCACTTATCACGGCTGAGAATAACCTGGCAGCAGTGATGTATTGAAAAATATAAATGATTTTCTAAAAGCACATAGTTTCCACACAGCACACCATGCTCTTATTGGAATAATGTCTTTCTTTTTCTTTATTTCTTCACTAGACCTTTTTTCGCAGTAATCAAAATTTTTGGTTGACAACCAAACAAATCATATAGGTATTCTAGCCACGAACTAACAACACTTAGAGTACTTTTATCTCTTGTTGATTTTCAATTTATTCATTTTATTTTTTTTTAACATATCCGCCCGAAAGATGGAGATATGCAGAAAAAACTAAATTCATAATCAATTATTTCAACATAATTAAACATGCGATAATGTGATTGATTGCATTTTCTACTTATTTAGTTGTGACATAAAAGATTTAAGAAAAATGTTTTTAGGCTGTTAAAATATTTTCGAAAATATGCAGGCTCGTTTAATTTTACCATCTGCATCACATTTTAATCGTTTTGATTAAAGCGTCAATTCGACGTTTATGATTCAACCGATTTCAAAACTAACTTACCAATCTGCGACAATTGACAGAGATTTTACTTTTATATTTAAAATATTTTTGATTTTTTTTTAACAAATTTAATGTTTTTATTGAAATTTCGAACTAGTACTTCATTAGTGTTTCCACCCGTAATCTCATCGATCATATACAGCGTGTCCCACTTTAAAACTGTACATCCTTGTAAAATCTTTGTTTATGATTCGATTTTGATAATTTTTTTTTGGATAGGTCTCCGAAAAATGCCTTGTTTTGCTATTGCTTCAACTTAAAGTCATGGCCGACTGAGAATATTTACCAAAACAGAGAGAAGTACTATTAGGGATTTTTAAAAAAATAAATTGGCAAATAATTCTTATTCTGGACTACTGAGAATCAAACTATACCAATTTTTCAATACGGGGTGTTTGAAATATCGTTTGCGCTCCGCTTTGATTACGGTTTGATGTTTATATTTTTTTTTGCTGGATAGATCTCTCAAAAACGCACTAAAACCTTATGCTTGTTCTAAGGACTACATAAAATCTAACCATACTAATATCCACAAGTTCGAATAAAGAGTGCTCGAAATATCGCAGGCGCCTGGTTTAAGCATTATTCCTGTAGAATGTTTGTTAATGGCTCCATTTTGATAATTCTTTTTTATTGGATAGATCTTACTAAAGAGCAATGAAACGGTTTTTTCATATAGCATCGACTAACTGACTCAGTTTTTTGTAGTGGAAAATCGAGAAGTACTTTTAGAGATTTTTTTCAAATTGAAAATGACAACAGATTCGTGTACAGGACTACCTACAAGTAACTAGACGAATGACCAAAGTTTTCAATTTAAACAAGACAAATAAATATTGTAAACCTTGTAAATAACGATTTTTTTGTATGTGTTTTTATAATAATACAAATTTTACTTTTTATAAAACAATTTCAGTCAAGCTTTGAAGAAGTCAACAGGATGATTGGCGAAACATTAGCTAGTTCGACTCAACAAAAACCGACGCAGGAGGAATTCAGAAGTTTTATAAACAGTATTTCAGTAGCCTGTGGAAGTTTCTTTGAAAAACTTACAAATTTTAATTATACAAATTTCAAAAAATAATGATAAAAAAGACTTTTTAAGGATATTCATTTTTTAGTATCATTTTAAAACAGCAGCATAATAAATCATAGTATTCGAAAGATGTAAACAAAATTAAAATATAAATTAGCGAGTGAATTTGACTGTCGAATATTCTCTTCCCTACTACTAGATGAATAAGAATTCGTTGCCAACTTATTTTTTAAAAAATCCCTAATAGTGCTTCTCTCTTCTCTCTCTTTTGTTAAATAGTCTCAATTGGCCATGACTTTAAGTGAAAGCAATAAGCAAAACAAGGTTTTAGTGCATTTTTCAGAGACCTATCCAACAAAAAAGTGTGTCATAAGTGGGACACACTGTATGTAATTGTCATTAATAAATTGCAAGAACCCTAACAATATTCATTAGTATTGTGAGATTTGATGTATATTAACATTTTTTTTAAGTGCCCGAAACACATATTCGTAAAAATGTTCCTGAATTAAGTGGATGTATAACGATTTCAGATTTACGTTTCCATTTTCAAAAATAACAAAGTTCCGCGGGGTGATAATGAATAAACCGGTACATGCAAATGGAAACCGTACTTATCTTGACGCGATGTTGGAGTCGCCGAGGCACCGACCGGTCGAATTTACACGAAAATACCTACCTTGGACAGCGGGTTCGTCGACGATGACTTGTCGCCCTTATCTTTATTGCAAAAACAGGATTTTATCCAGGGCATGCCGGGCGCGCGTCAGAACGAAACTCTTGAAAAAACGCCGCCAGATCTGGCCGGCAAATGCGCAACATAAAAATCAAATAGTCCTTTCAATCGAGCATATTTGTTTTGGAGTAGTTGACGTTTCTACGCACGTAGTGTCAAAACAACGGCTGCGGCATCGTGGCTGCAGCTCGGCTGCGACGATTTCGACGTCCCGGACGCGACTGAGTGTTTGTGTGTATATGTGTGTGTTTGACAGATCCCCGCCGCTACTATAACTAATCCGGAACCGAAACGCAGCAGCCTCCGCACTGATGCCAGCGGCACAGCTGCGACGCAAACGTGGAGGGCGGATTCGGATCCTTAATGGAGTTTTGTGGAATACCGGCGCTCCTCGACGATGCGGCAACGTTTTAGTTAAACTAACGGCGGCCGATTCTCTGTTCGCCACACGGTAGCGTTGGAACGCGCGATAGCAGATAGATGTCCATCCTTTAAACCTATTCGGATTTCATGTGGCTGACCGCGACGCGAGTCCTTTTCTTCTCTGGTGCAAATAGACCGAGAGATTGACGACCGAGATTGTGACCAACCATCGGAAACGAAATTCTCGAAACAAAAAACTGTTGCATCTCGGTGGTCTAAACCGTAGATCCAACGAATGAATTGATTTATTGAAGAAAGATGATACAAGAGAAAGCGGAAATTATGAGGACGGAGAATTATTGGATTTTCTTGTAAGTAATTAGAATAGTCTTTATGCAAACAAGAACTAGTGAAAACACCAATGGAGGAGTTTGTCACCGTGTTGCAAACTAACTTATTTCTATTGCCAGTTGTTTTGGGGTAAAAAACATGACAATCAGAATCGACAAACGTCAAAACAGGTGCCTAAAATCTATCGAAAACAACCGATCGCTCCCGAACCCGTGATTAAAGTACCGGAAATGGCTCGCAACCGTGGGTAACGAAGTGTCTCCTCGCACTTGACAATTGGATATTTTAAAGTAACGAGTAGGAAAAAGCGCACTAAGTCTAAAAAGTTAGAGTGCTTGACTGTTTTCACCAGGTAGATCCAATGAATGAATTGATACAGCGTAGAAAGATGATACAATTTATAGGATTTTCTCGTCTTGTTTCAAAGTAGTAAATAAAATAGTAATAGTAAAAAGTGTAGTAATTAAAATAGTAATTATGCAACCTGTTTGAAAACTGAAAACTAACCAAAAAGTTTATCACCATTTTGCAGGCTATACTTTTTTACTACAGTACAAACGTCAAAAAACGTGCCTAAAATCTATCGAAAACATCCGATCGCTCCCGAACCCATGACTAAAGTACCGGAAATGGCTCGCGACCGTGGGTAACGAAGTAAGTCTTTTCTCACGCTTGATAATTGGGTATTTTAAAGTGACGAGTAGGAAAAAGCGCACCAACTTTAAAAAGTTGGAGTGCATAACTTACTAACTAATTAAAATTTAGACTGTTTTGACCATGCGTGCGGAAGATATCACTTTCAAACGTCAGCCTCATTTCACTAGTGCGAGACAATTACCGGTACTTTAGTCACGTGTTGGGAGCGGTCAGATGTTTTCGGTACATTTGAAACTGGTATTGTGACGTTTGTCAGTTCTAATAGTTCTGTGTGCATCGAGTCACTCGGTGAATGCATCTGCTAAAATGTTACTTTCATAAAAAAAGGCCTTTTGTTTTAGTTTTGTTTTCAATTACTTATTATTTTTAGTTAATCAACATGATAGAGGCTTTTGTTGCTCAACAATAAGGAAAGCTGTATCCATATCATAACATCCATTTGACTATAACCTTGCTTCTCGAACAATTTTATTAATAAATAGAGGAAGGAATTTTTAAATTACTTTTAAACAAGTTGCTGCTTAGAAGGAAAAATGTAACAACAAACAGGATCACTTATTTTTAGTATTTTTATTATCGTTATGATCCAAGTCTCAACAACATTTGTAAATTCGTCGCTTAAAGGATCGAATTAAAAGCCATTTGACTTATTTGCTAATGTTACCCTTATTTTTGTTGTTGTGGTATGTTGAGTTAATACACATTTGTACCACTTAAAATATCAAAGTTTGGTTGGTTGGTTCTGTTAGAAATTTTTTTTTCAAGCAGCTCTTTCGTACAAACCGATTTTGCATTCAAAATTTGTCAATAAAACAAGCTTATGGAGTTACACAGTGGATTCCGCCGTAACGAGCTACCCTGTATATGCCCGGTCATAGTGGGTAAAATACCCTTTCGCAGACAAGGTTTAAATTAAGACTGATTGAATCGACTCATTTTTCTCATTAAATACGTCTGCCAAGGGAGCCCATTACTCAATCGATTGTCAGCGAGGGTCCTACATTCTTAACTTTGACACCCAGTCATAAAACGTTTCAACGTATCATAACTCACAATTAGTCTACATTCGAATTAAGGGAATGACTGCGGTTGTGTCGACAGATTAAATTAAAATCAAAGTTTGTCTAAGCTGCATCTTTTAACGAATTTTATTATAAGGGAGGTTGGTAGACTTTCAGACTCGGAAGCACCATATTTTATTATAGATTCGTATATCCTGCACTATTTAAACCAAATTGTATATATTAGTAAATGAGTGTCTAAGGAAATTAATAAAAGTGTTATATATTATACGTTTGTCTACGGAAAACATCTCTCGAATAATTGGGTAATAGTAATTTTTGTTTTAAATAATTTTTGTTTTAAATATAACAATGGACCAACAATTTTAACTACTAATATGCTTATTATTTAGAATTCACCAGCATTTGAAAACCGTGATTAACTTGTTTTAAATAAAAAAAATGTATACGTTTACAGTAGGCAGATTTTAATGAAAGGTACTTGAGAATTTGCATAGGATCCGTTCTTGTTCAATATATAGGAGGTTTAGTTTAAAATTCCAAATTTTTGTTAATTTTCTTGGTTTCTCTGAAGGAAAACTAACATGACATAAAATACAAAAAAATATATTTTTTAATTTTTAGAAGATTTTTTAGATACCCGAATGCTCTTTAATCCAAGATCTATATGCGGCCACGTTCGCGTACACGCTGGGCATTGACAAGAAGCAGGTTCCCTGTTCGTCCCAATACCAGGACATGATACCAACTTGCACTCCATCGATAACCAAAGGGCCACCGTAGTCGCCTTCGCACAGGGATAGCACTCCTTCACCCGAAGAACACAGATTATTGGATGTTACCAGTTGGTCAAAATCATAGTCATAAGTTTTGCACTCCTCGTTTGACATGACGGTGACATTAACGAAATTCATCCAGGGGGAAATTCCGAATTCGTCTTCCTTGTAGTGACCCCAACCTACATAATTACAGTGACTTAGTGTGGAAAGGGTTTGCAGGTATGTCGTTAATGAAACCACTGTTTCAAACACTTTCTCACATTTTTTTCTGTCGAAGTTTATTTTTGCGCCTTTTTTTTTTGGATTGTAGGGGCGTAATCTTAAATATTGTTAGAAATAAAAATATCTCAATACATTAGCTCAAGAAAAATTAATAGGCTGGTCTCATTAAATGAGAGTAAAGTATGGAGCACACTACATGAAAATAAATTTTATTCGACTTTAACGTTTAACGAACAAAAACTAACCATATTTTTATAAATGATCTATCAAATGGTATTAAGGCATCCTAGAGCTAAGTTTGGTTCGGTTTTTGACACTTGGTTAGAGTAATTTTACCAAATTAGCCCGACAGACCTCCAAATATTCTATTTACAACAATATCTTGTCCCGTACAGCGTAAATGCCAAAGAGAAAATCCCGAGATGCCTTTATATATCAAAGCGTTGTCTATGCTGATAATACAGAAACTTTTGAAGCTACTGTAAAAACAATGTTGATAAGGGCAATTCAATATGCTCATATGCAGTCATTTCAAATTTCGTTTCCAACCAATAAGACTTGTTAGTTCAAATCTCTCTTTTTCAGTTTGGATATGGAATTTTTACGGCAGGATTTTCTTAAAATATGCCCACATTCAGTTAAATTTTCAGAGAAAAAACAAATAGAATGTGGATATCGCTGTTTAGAAAGAAAATATGGTAAAGTTTGTTTGTGAAATAGGGGCATGGAAGATTTCTTTCTCATGGCCTCCTGAGGCCCATCGATTCCTACCGTCCTTAGGCATGGAAAAAAAGCACCTTATTTTGTTGTTTTCGGTCTTGAAAAGAACAATTTTTTATGTGGGGGCGGACCCGGATTTTGCTGATATTGATCGATTCATAACAAATATATAAAATAAAATATCTAGAAATATAATATAAATATATAAAATATATAAAAATCGAAAAACGTATTCTAAATGGGAGAAATCTTGATTTAAATGAACGCTCCTCATATGAGAGTTAAAAAAATCAACCGCGAGACAATCGCGACAAATCAATAAAAACTTGCAATGAAATTAAACATTGTCGTCTGATATAAACAATTCAATTAGATACTTTTAAAAAAATTCAAAGAATGCAGATAAGATTTCAAGAGATTCGGCAAAAAATTATGCCTAGGACTTACTACTTAGTAATTGATATTTTTTGTCATTTTTTAAGGGTAAGATCACCAGGCTTCTAAACACAACATACATGTCAGTACTGTGACCAAAATCCGTTTGGGTAACTAGCAAAAGAATAGTTCGTTTAGTTTTTTGAAATTTAAGAAGATTTTGATATAACATCACATAGCAAATATGTTAAAATCCTAAGAATTTTTATTATTATTTTAGTAATATAACTATACAATATTAAATCTAATTTAAATACAAGAAAGAAAAACCTAACTGTATACCTAATTTTTTTATTTAGCTTAATTTAAAATTTAGGTTCAATTGGACTACAGCAAAATTGTGGATTATTTGGCGGTGGATTTGAATTAATTGGTATTAAAGTTGTTAATTAGGTCCCTTGCTTATTTGCTTAGCTGGGCTTTCGTAAAAAAATAACATTTATAACGACTTCTGTCGACTAAGTAAGAGCTAAGGTATATTTTTTAGAATACAATGTGTCCAAAATTATTAGTACAGATTGTTTATACAATTAGGATTGTTGTTTTTCCAAATGTACATATCTAAAAATTTCATGAGAAAACACCTAAATATATACAATGTTTAAGAAAAGTATTATTGAGTTACAGTTAACCATGATATACTAATGTCATGTTATAAGTACTTTATTTATCTTATCTAATAACAAGCTGTAAAAATTTTCAAAAACGTTCTTATTTCGGACCCTGTTTTGTTTGAAACTCAAAAACTTTTGAACTGAATTTTTAGCAAATAATAAGCTATTGCCTTCTGTTATATTTACTTTCACGATTTTAAACCGTACCCGGTCGAACTTGCACCGCAGTTTTGCTATATATTAAATATTTTTGCTTATTAAGGCATGTTGTAGTGTTGACAATTTTTTTCAGTAGGACGAAATATAGTGCTTAACCTGGACATTTACATTGAATTTGTATTTGTATGAATGTACTTCATTTTTTACTTATTTTCCCCTCATTTCTGTTTGCCATGTGAGACATTTTGGACAATCTTAATTTGGTTAATTACCAATAATAATAGATTGCAAATCATGTAATCACCTGCTATAGTGCCAGTTTTGCCAACATAATCGTCATTGTCGTTTTCTGGCAACCGAACCGGCTGAATCGCCTCGTCGAATTGGAGTTCCTCGTCTAATTTAATAAGGGCAATATCGTTGTTTCGAGTTTCCAGGTCGTAATCTTCGTGTACAATTGCGGCGGATCCCCTTAAAGTTATCCAGTAATGGCCCGGTTCCCAATTACTGACATTTCTCGCGCCAAATAGCAGGTTGATTGTGCTTATGCTGGAATTCGGCGGAATAAACTCGGGTGATCGTAGAAAGAGCAAATGTAGGACATGGACGGGAGAACGATGACTTACGTGTGTTTCCGAAAACATTGGGCGGCAGTAAGAACATAATTTGGTGATATTACCGACCCGCCACAGAACGAGTACCCACGATCCAGATGCTTATGGAGGAATATAGCTACTTGGTAGGGAAACTGAAAGGCACTGGAATTGGTGCCTCCCACAACCCGGAGACTGTTCTTATCATCTACAACTTCAGCCATCGACATCTAGAAAATATTTAGATATAATTAAAAAACCAATAGTAGGGTATCCATATGGGAGAAATAGACAAAAGGGCAAGCTTACCCATATCTGGAATGATATCGCGATACTCAGCACAAACAAGTTCGCATGAGTTCGAGCCATAATCATACGAGCTACACTAATAACCTTTTCAATGCAAATTCTATTAAAATGTACGTATATGACGTTGAAAGTAATTTAAGTTTTGGATTTTTCAAGTACCAAACACTTAGAAATTGTTATCGCAATCAGCAGCTACGGTAAATATGTACTCACTCACTTTCAAATTTGGCAACGTACATTAGTTTTGGTTACGGTATCCAGAATCGCGTCCTAGTTAAAACAAATATTAATGAAGGCTTTGTAGCACATGTTTTAGAATATTTTAAAGTAGAATCCGATTAAAGAACGTACTACCTTCCAGTTATAAAATTAAATATTATCACTGCAGACTTTGCCAGACCCACGAGAGGGCATTAAAGTCTGTTCGACCTTTAGGGACAATTGATAAGTGGGGAGTAATGAGTAAGTTCACTTAGGAGTCAGGGACAAGCTATCATGAATGAGACAAGCCGATTATGACAGCACTGGGAGATCGAACACCAGCCTCTATGCATGTCAACACCAGAGTTCATCCTCCATCTAAAGTTGTAATTATATGAGCATCCTTAAAGGCCGAATATGTGCTGAGTAGTTGCTTTTCTGGTAAAGCGTGAATTAGGTGGCGTGTAAACCCATTTTGAAATATTATGCATTTGTACACATAGCCAACTTGTATGTTAATAGAACAAGCTATGTAATCATGTGATAATTCCATTAAATGTTTAATGCGCTTGTTACTAAAAAAATGTAAATTTATTGTATAAGTAAAAAATCAAATAGTATTTGTCTGAAATTTTCACTTTGAACTTTTGAAAAAATATATATTAGGTAGTAGATAGTAGTAATATCCGATACAACCCACAAAAATGTCTAAAACAATACGTTTTTATCCCACACAGTAACTAGTATCAATTATTAATATATATCCGCCAATTAAGGACTTCTACAGATGTAAAAAAAGCGACCGCCACTTATGAAGCTCAATTTTCGAGAAAATCTATTCAAAAGTTTTTATATTCTACAAAAAAAAACTATTTCTCCCAAAATCAAAATTTTCAAAAATACAAAATATGTATGGGGATGCTGTTTTCTATTTTGAAAAGATTATTCCAGATGTAAATTTTATTGTTGATCGCTGAACTTGACAGGTTTGTTATGTTAGGTTACAACTAAAAGTATATTTACAAATAGTTACAAATAATACAAATTGATTGGACCAATTTAAATTTAATACAGTAAGTAAAAGACAATGCGATTAATTTATGAACAAAAATTGGTGACATCATCCAAAAGTTTTCTCAATTCTTCTAAATACTTGGCGTTGTAGCCCGTAGCGGTACTTGCGGAAGGCTGACGGCCAATATAACTGTAAAAAAAGTAAACTGTATGATATATCAAGACCAGACAAAGGTGTTTTCAATTCAACATATCCGAGAGAAACCTAAAAAGTGAAGGTTTCATTTGTGTTTTTGACGTGTGTCCCATACGAAATAAAAGTCGAAGTGATGGAATAAATTTTCGACCATCCCCACACGAAACTTTGACAGGTGTCATTATTATAAGTTGCCGATTAAGCGTCCTGGCAAAAGAGACACTTGAAATGATGTCCATCCACTGCAAATTAACCAATTTTCACTAAATACTTACATTATGTCCCTCTCGCCCTTCGTAACTGTTTCAAATCTTGGCTGAACGTAACTCCAGCAACCTCCGTTTTTGTGTTCCTCTTGTACCCACACGATTTTCGCCTTTTGATACTTTTCGCATTCTTTTTTGACAAGATCATATGGGAATGGACATACCTGTCGTCGTATATTATAAGGGATGATAAAATCTGTTTTCATTTTCCTACGTAACTCACCTGTTCGATTCTAATTAGAGGCAGTTTATCTTCACATTTTCGCTTGCTTAAAATATCCTTTACTTCGTAGAATATTTTCCCGCTGCAAAACAAAATGTTTGCCACTTTGTTGGGATTTTTCGACGCTGGCCCATCGTTTGATATTATTCGTTGAAATTCCGTACCTAATCATAATGTTTGGTCACGAAATATTCTCAACTATTTATCTTCATAACATGTATGTATAAAAGGATAATTAAAACATTTCCGTTAAATAAACCTAGGTTGTACCAACACAGGGAATTTTTACTACTTCTAGATTTCGTGGAAATCGAACCGATTCGATAATATTTCCTTTTGCGTCTGTGTACTTTTAAGTTGGCGTTCTTTTATGTACCTATTGTTTAATTTATAGATCTAATTATGTTATGATTATGTTTAAGATCTGGACGTGTGAGTGTATTTGTTAATATAATCGTTAGTTTTGTAAAACCAGGTCACTTCGAGTATGGACGATTTTTTAAATAAATAAAATGGCTAGCGATTTTTAAATTGTCTATATCAAATTAATTTGAAACTCCAATGTCATGTTAAGTGGGATTTTCTGTCTTTGTATATGGTGCAATAGACCAAGAAGTTACAGCGGACGGGCGGTATATCGGCTACATAAAATATAAATCCAAACATCACAGCACATATCCTAATGACTTAAACAGACAGACGGCGTACACTGTTTGCTTTGAATGCTCTTAAGGTAACTTGAAGTACTCTATTGCTTTGTATACGCTCTTAAGCATTTTTGTTCAGTGTTTTTAATTGCCTGTGAGCGAATACAATGTTGCGTTTATATTCGTTTTCAACTTAGCATGACCAAAGGGTGCTTAGTCAAATGCTAGTGCCCAGTATTTCCGACCCAAATCAATAGACAAAATCTTCTCACCCCTGCAAACTCCTTTAAAGGACTGACGTTACGTGAAACATCAGTTCTACCGATTTATCTAATTGCTTTCAGAGCTTCCCCCCTTTTGTGCATTAGAGATCATAACTTTTCTTAAATTTTCATTATTTCCTGACTATCACAAAAAAAAAACTTTATTCAACCCCTAATTGGAATTTTTACATCCCCCTTGCTATTTCTTGCATAAATGTTCTAGCCTTTACTACTAAAAAAATTATTGGTGACATGGAAATGCTTACGTAGAAATAACTTTGGCACCATCACCCCGATGTCGTTGATTGTGATGAATATATAATAAGCTAGTGATACCTTCTATCATATCCTTAAAATCACTTCTCGTAGCTGGTAAACGCAGCAAACTTTTCGGGGTCAACAGTATCAGAGGTTTTCGGAAAGGCAGAGCGATTTGTCTTCTCAATATATGAAAGAAATTGGCAGTGGTGGTACAGTTGGCAACTATCCAGTTGGTTTTCCTTAGTTGTTCGACCGCAAAGTTATTGGAATTGGGAGGCAGGTAGTCTGGGTCGTCGCTACCCATTTGCAAAAAGCGCTCGGGGCGGGCGCTAGAATGTTCTGGACTCGGACCTAAACATAACCTCACGACAGTGATGACCTAATCTATATTTAAATTACTCCAAAAATAGCCGTTTTTAAGTTAGTGAAAAGAGCTCCAAGTCAGAAAACTAATCACCTTACGCAGAGCTGTTTTTTTCTCATATACCGATACATAGGAAATTTAATTCATCAGATAAGTCAAAAATCTTATTTTCAACTGTTTTCCAACAACCATTTTAGCGAAAAACGAGTGTAAGCCTAGTTTATTTAATTTTTAATCTAAAATTGGGGTCGTTTTTGATGGAATTTATTAATAGCAGCTATATGCAATAATAATATATAGGGTATGTAAATTAAAATCACACCAATGATAAAGTATGTTATAATTACAAATTTGCAAACTTTTAATAGTTGCATAGTTTTACCATATTGCCGGGTTTCCACTAAATTGACAGAATTAAAGCACAACACGATCTGTCCGTGTGAACAGAAAGTCGGAACAGATTGGTTTGTGATTGTTCCTGAAGAGATCCTAAAACGGATTGGTGGTTTGCATAAACGACATTAAATTCAAGAGACCCGATAAACTCTTAATATTTCTGAGTTTAAATAGCGATCATATTTTAAACACAGGATTGCCATTTGCACCTTTCAATACAATGCATAAGAACTGTGACCTATTATAGGAGACATCAGATGGTTTAGGATATTGACATTTGTAATGTGGACGTCGTATTTATGCTATTTGAGAAGTTTTTGTTTTTAAATATTAATGAAACAGTTGTTTAAAGTGGTTTAGCGTTGTTTAGTGTGTAAATAACCAGTTACGATCATTCTAATTTCAGTTTTTATAGCTAAACAGAAAAAAATGTCTACAGCAAATTATGTAGATGCAGTAATTCTTTCTTATATTTAATTTACACGTGTTACAATTTAAATTTACCAGGTAATTAGGTATTGAATTATAATATTTTACGGCGTTATACGAAAAACTCGACCAGGGATTGTTAAAAATTCCCTAGTCCTAACATTCCTAAGTGTTTCGCGCCTAAACACTATTCGCTCCCGAATCGAGGACGGAGTATCGGGATCGTTTATAGATTAAAAAACTACAAAAATGTAGTCTTCTAACGAGATTTCATCCTAAGCCACCCAATCTGCTTATAAAAATTAGAAATATGGTCATATTTTCTTAAACATTGGTTTCGATTTTTTTCAATTCTACATTCACTTTCATTATATAAAAAAAAGACATATACAAAATAAGAAGTAAAATTTGATAAGAAGAGAATCGCATAACTTTTAATGAATAGATTGCCGTGTCTCCTTTGGATATATTGTCTTTGATTTACATCAATCACGAACATTAACAGTAAAAAACTTTAATGTTTAAAACCTTCGAAAAATATGAAATATTAAATTGAACTAAGGTGACTTTACTTGATGAAAATCAATTTAACAAAATAAACACTAAAAGTTCAGATTTTTGCCAAATTATACACTCAATTGTTTCGACAACACCGTGTGTTTATCAAATCATTTGGTGTTGTCGAAACAATTGTCATGTGAAAATGTCTCGAAAATCTGAACTTTTAGTTCTTATTTATGTATTTATTTTTTCATTTTTTTCTCTAAGATTATTAGCAAATCTAGAGCAGATAATATAAGGCTGCCATTTGTTAGAGAGTATTTGAAGAATTTCAAGCACACACTGCTAAAAAAATTGTTGTTTTCCATTAAGCTGGTTTCATTGCGTTCATAAAAACTACCTCGTACTAAAACATTCAATTCAAACAATGTGTTCCTTATCAGTTCTAGTTTTGTTATAAATGCACCTAGTTCGTACTTTATTTTCTTTTGGTGTAAACCCGGTTAACAGATCGACGAAGTCCCCCTAGGAACACCTTCATGCTATTTTCAAATCAGTAAAAAAAAAGAAGCTGCTTTAATCTTTTGGAAATTTTTGATCTTCTTATTTGACAAAACGGTGGTCTCTCAATAATATTACTGCAAAGTAAGATAAGCAATTATATTAGCCTTCGGGCATATCTATTAGTTCCACGAGAAACTTATATATAATTTATGGAAAAGATTTTTTCCCTAGAGTCCTGCCAGGACCTTATACGACTCAAAAAATGGGCCAATTACCTTCCATACCGTGGGGCAAGAAACAAACTAACCCGGTTTTTCTTCCCCACTTGCTTTCGCCTGACGTTATCATTGTATCGAAAATCACTTGGGCGGTGTTGGCGAAATCGCCGAATTGGGCTTCCCAAATAACTAAGCAGTTCGCGCTCGTCGAAGAATAGCCTAGTTCGAAACCTAGCACGCCGCATTCGGACAGAGGCGTATTGCAAATGGTGTAGCGGGCTTGATCGGGATATAGATCGGTCAGGTATCTATAAAAGTTTACCATTTGTGTTTCGAATTAAAAATGAATTTTCAAAATGTAGCAGTTTTGTAGTTTAATGCAAAAATCCAACAACTCTGCATAGATTTCACAAATTCAGTTACTTTCAATATTTAGCGAAAGCTGCTTCACCCACCGCAAATATACAAGATGTTTCGAAAAGCATGCAACAACGCTCGGTTGGAGATTCGTCAAGAAAAAAAAAGTTCATATAACTTAGTAGCGAAATAAATAAACGTATATCCGTAAATACTTAGTTTCCAAGATGTGGAGTGTTAAATTTTAGAACAAAAATGCCGCCAATGAAGCTGGTGGTCATTTTCTTTAGTGTTCGTTTCTTAGAATGAAGTTTAATGTTCATGAAAATGTCCACAAAATAAATGTTCATAAAAAAAAGCAATTTATTATAAAAAGAAATCAGGGGTTAGAAAAGTTTTTTTTAGGTGGCTTATCCAAAGTAATTTAAATAAATCGAAAAAAGTAAATGGCGTACATCGCTTTGAAAATACTATTCGTTAAGATACGACGCCCCTGGACTTCACAATTTTAATTAAGTTAGTAAAATTAGCCCTTTATAATATATATAATAAATATATTATTATTATACAAACATAATAAAATAAATGTAGTTACCATACGTTAACATTATTATTTGGCTTAAAAACAAGTTTAATTTATATTTTTTTGTAAGATTTTTTTAAACACCCTGTATTTATAATAGCAAGGTGCAAGAAGTCCTAAAATCTAGTTTTCAATAAAAATAAAAATTAAAAGTGAAATTATTTACCAATATTGCAGTTCCTGGCATATTCAACTCTTGCAGAATAATAGTAATTACGAATTTGCCAACAAAAAACGCTTATGAAAAATAATTGAAATAAAATAATGCAGTATAGATATTTCCACACCAATTTTTCACCTTTTTTGTTAACAGAGTTTGAAAAAGAATGTAAATGTAATTAAAAACGGGTCATCGAATAATATGATCGAATGATATGATAAAAATGATAGGATAAGAGGAATCTTCTGATTCTTACTCAGTCTCTATGACCCGACATAAACCAGAGGCTCGTGTTGCGTATATATCAACATTACCAGGCCCTCCTTCGCCAAGTTAAAAATAGGGAAGGTCCTATTCTGTTCTTTTTTTTTAGGTACGTGAAAGGAAACTGCAACCACCGTTATGTTAGGGGACTTCCACTAATTCAGTCGGAAAATGAAAGTATGCAAAACCTTATTTTTGGTATTTTAACCTTATGTATGTGCTGTTTAAAATTACTGCATTATTCTACGAATATTCTGAATAACTTGCTAAAAATTCCAAAAACTAAATTTTATTTAGAAAAAAAAAGCCTATGAGTAACTCATAAAGAAATCGGAACAAGTAGGTAACTTCCTTATTTGCGTGGAATCAAAAATTCAGTTAAAAGTTTTTTACATATAGCTAGTGAATATATAGGGGCCTGTATTACCGGCATAGGCAAGACATACAGATATGTGCCAGCGATTTCAAAAATGTCATAGCTGTTTGTGGTATCAATACCTATATGCTTACAACTTTAGCATTTGTAAAACAATTTTTCTATAATGCTTTTTATTCTTATTCTCATTAATTACGTTAATTTATGTTACGTCCAATTCCAGATATTGCTAGTAGTAATCCAGCTAAATTTGATTGAAGAAACTTAATAAGTTATTAACACGGAATGTCTACTTACTGGTATGTCACGTTCCTGAGAATTTCATGAAACAAAACGTGATGCCTGTGTGAAAACGTTCCACGTTCGACATCTTGACCGGTTAGCCTCACGTGGACGCCATCTCTTAACAGCGAACCAATCGCCAAAGCCTCTCCCATCGCCCAGTCACACTTTTTCTGCTTTACAAGGTCCATGCGAGCAGATAAGATTCTTTTCAAACCTGAATTTATAGTTTAAATAATCTAGCAGTAATATACCTATTTTTTGGATTTTTTAGATATACTAACCTCGGTGCATTTGAAAATTGTGAGAATCAGGGGGTGGAGATGAAAATCTGGTGGCAATGTGCTCGAGCACTTCTTGACTTATCCCCGTTTGACCTTCTTTGACGCCGCTCTCAGTTACGAATTTGGGATTTTCTGTCCATTCCTCAACAGTGTGAAACTTCTTTTGTTTCGCCTTTTCAAAAGCCTCCGCGCATCTGTGTTCAAATTTTTGTTCCATATCAGTCAAACTCTCTTTCGTAATTGTTCCTATAACGTCCAAAGTTTTATGTTACAGCTAACATGAAGGCCCCTGGATGCTACAAATGGAACTATCTTCTCCCTGCTCTGTTACCGATACCAATGATTTTGCAATACACCATAAAAGAAGAATTCAATGCAAACACAAAATTTATATTTTACATTTAAATCAAATTATAGATTATTGTTAAATCACCTGGTGTCGATTTCTGTAATCTGGAGATTGAAAAGAGCGACAACAGATCACATGTTTAACCAATTTAAAGTACCAAAATTTGTTTTGAAATGCTAAAGTTATCCCTATAATAATACAGTTTAAAGTAGACAAAACAAGAAGATATAATCTCTCTCGCACTGGTATTAAACTACATGACGCATTCTTAAAGGCACAACTAACGTTCCGCCACACATTTCTCAATTTTTTAATATTACCTTCTTCCAGAAGCTTTTGGGCGTACAGCTCAAAATTTGTTTTTTTTTTCTTGATTACGGAATATTGTAACGGTTGAGTGAAAGAGGGTTCGTCTTCTTCACTGTGACCGAACCGTCTATAACCTACGACGTCTAATATCACATCTTTTTGGAATGTTGCTCTCCATTCCACCGCAATTTTGCTAACATGAAGTACGCTTTCTGGGTCGTCAGCATTTACATGAAAAATTGGGGCCCCGATAACTGAGCATAGATCTATGGACGACGCTCGACTTTAGCACTTACAAGTAACTGCGCAAAAGGTCGATAGTTACCAGTTGATTCCATGGAAGATTTATACTGCCATGGTTCCGTGGTAAATCCAAGTCTGTTATTAATAATAACGTGCACAGTACCACCGGTATTATAGCAAGGTAGATTAGCCAAATTGGTTGTTTCCCAAGAAACACCTTGCCCGCAGATAGCTGCATCTCCATGGATTACTATTGGCAACACCTTAAAATATTTTCACCTAGACTACTAGTTCGGTCAAAATAAATATTTGCTATAGAATGTTGCGTTATTAAAAAAAGGTGAAGACGAAATCTCAAATATTTTGAACACATTATGCTTTGCTTTGACTTAGTCACTCGAGGAACTTGTACGGAAGCACCAGTATAGGTTTATAGAGCGGTAGTAATAATTGCCATGATAGTATCCAACCCTTATTAGAACATGGAACATGTCAAGGTCAAAAGCAGGTGTTAATTGAACTTAAAATACTTAAAATACTTTTTGGCAACTGACTAAAATATATGATAAGCAATTACTTCTTTCTACTTATTTTTCACTGGTACAATCACTTATATCTTATGGATAATCGGTTGGGGTGCTTCCACGACTCCTCAATCCCTTTACGTAATACAAAAAAGAATTTTGAAAATTATATTTAAGTTAAATCTGCAATAGCCTTCTGACTTACTTTTTACTCAATTTCAAATATTTCACATAAAAATTTCATATTATAAATCATCCCTTTTGTTCTTAATAAAAAATAACTTAAAATGCATTCATCTGTTGGACAATAAAATTACTTTCATATTGGTCAAAAAATTTATAACGCACTACCTCTAGAACTGAAAAATAAAATAAAATAAAAATAATTTAAAACAAAATTAACTAGCATAAGTTTCTATTATAAGTCAAATTCACAGATTCATTAATGTATTGTAACTATATAAAGTCGTTTCTTTTTTTTTGGTAGAATATTATGTTTTTCTTTCATATTACATAATAGATGGGAAACATAGTTAAATTAACCTGCGTCATGTTCAAGGATGGCTGTCAAGTTTTTAACTTAGTATACCTTGAATATGAGTGTTTTTTTGTATTAATATTTATTTAATGTTTACATTAATATAAGTTGTTAAATTGTATATTTTTATTGATTTGAATAAAAATTATTATTATTATTAGTGTTTACTTGCATGTACGGTGAAAGAAAATAAAGTTTTGTGATATACCTTTTGACTTTCAGCGTCCGGTCTGAAAACCTGCTCCGCCTTAGCACGCCCCTGTGTTAATGGAAAAACGACTTCGAGATGAGAAGGATTTCCCAAAAGACTCACTCTGATTTTCTTATTAGTGGTCATCCTATATGGGAATTTTGCATATAATATTTTTAAAATAAGTTTATAGTGGGCAATGTTTTGAATCGGTTTACTTCAAAAATAAGTTTTCTTTTTCTTTGATATAATTCTTTTGCATATCTCAGCTTCTTTTTTATTTAACGCAGCACATGAAAATTCCCAGTCATATCAACTGAGCAATTCGCTTTTATTTGCAAAATATTACACAACTCTGTTCAAAAGATTTTCCCATTTTTATGCCAAATTTGGCGAACACAGAAAGAACTTCTCAACCACACGGCAACCATTGGTACCAATTAAGATCTACAAAATTAAACTTTTTAGAAGATGTTTTTATTTCGAAAACTGATTTCATATAATTTTGGTAGGCTGATTTCAAAAATTCTATGCATTTATTTGTATCACGTAAGTTTTTTTTGCAAATATTAAAGAAAAAAATAACGATATTTCTAAAATAATTAATTTTTTTATTCTGTAAAAAAGTGAAATCCTAGTTGCAATCCATTGGTGGTCCTTCCTGAGTAAAATATTGACATAACTTTTTTCACGACCCCGCAAAAAAAAAATCAAATGCATCCTTTGGAAGGTTCAAATCTCTAATTACATCATTTAATTCGTTCTGGTTAAACACTTCGGACTCTCTGAAATTTGGTGGGAAATATGAGTCATCTGGGTCGAAATTAAATTCATCTGATTCTGACGATATAACTTTTTCTAGTTCTTTTTGGGCGGTAGGTATCGACATCTGATCCAAGGGGAACTGATCGAATAGCAGAGTCAAGATTGGGATACACAATTTATTTTTTCTGTTGAATCTTTGAACATTACACGAACCAAAATAACAATCACCACTTTGATTCCCAGGCTCTCGCCTAGCATAGGAACACCAAAGCTATTTTCCTATCTTTTTGCCATTTTCTTGACGCTTCAACGTAAACGGAATAAACAGTATGTAGAGCCCAGGACTTGTCTTTTTACAACAAAATAAGCGTGGTATACATTTTTCACAAAGGAAGTTATAGTTTGCCTTTGGTTTACTACGACATAACTACCAGAGATATAACAAAAGTTATTTGGATTGTTCACACGATGTCTTTTTTCTATATTTATACGTTCTAGAATATGCAACAACGAAGACAACAGGTAGGTCTCGGTACATCTGGTCCATGAGGAACTGGTCGAATAGCAGAGTCAAGATTGGGATACACAATTTGTTTCTAATTTGTTCTGTTGAAAATTACAATCATCACTGTGATTCCTAGGCTCTCGCAACACCATAAGAACACCAAAGCTTAAACATTTCTTGGTCGCCAATTTTTACCCCAAATAAGCGTGGTATACATTTTTCACAAAAGAAGTTATAGTTTGCCTTTGCTTTACTACGACATAACTACCACAGATATAACGAAAGGTTTTTATTTTATTTATACGTTCCAGAATACTAGAAATATGCAAAACGAAGACAATACAACCAAACTGCGCATAAGCAAGTTACAACGCTGTATTGACTATTCCATCTCTGTTGGTTTGCAGAGAAATCTAATATTATCCAGTATTGCCAAATCAAATTTAATTTCATAAAAATCAATTCATTAAGAAATCATGTCTAACATGGAACAAACATATTTATGTCATAGGTATGTGTATTAATAAAATAACATTGCGTTTATTGGGAAAAGGGCCCCAGAAATATATAAATAAGCAAAGAGCATTCAAAGATGCAATTCCAAATGGCATTACATTGATAAAAAATTATTTTCGGTACTGTTACTTTAAATTTATCTTAAAAATAGTGTGTATACCTTTCTCTGTAGGTACCCAGGTGGTATTTTACGTCACCGGTTTCCCAACCGTTGACCGGGTGATCCATGAATTGGGAAATCACCAAGTCCAATGGTGCCTGGCAAACATTGGCCAGAATATTGACACGCCCCCGGTGTGTTGCACCTTGCAAAAATAATTGGTTACATTTTGTTGAAAACGTGTACTGTGTGCATATGGGTTGCATTTTACGTGATATTCATTATCTACCGTACAGATAATTTAAGCATAATTTTATGCATTCCAAATGGTTTGCCTGAAAAAATTTTTGATTTTTTTTTCCTTTATTGTGTCGTTGATTTAACTAAAAATGTCAGATAGTTTTCAGAATCTGGTAAATTCCATATACAAATTATTTTAGTCAGAATGATTTAGTTTTCCCATATAAAAATGCATGTCCTAAAATTCGTTGGTGGTGGTTGGTCTGAGTTCTACTTCGACCCAAATTCAGAAAATTTGTTGCTGTTAAACTTCCATAAACGGATTAAGAAATTATGATCGCATTTCTAGAATACATACGTCACTCCGTATAATTAATTTGTTGCTATGTGCATGTAAAAAGTGACATGCTCGTGGTCATAATAAATCCCCTGTGTGACACCATTTTTCGATGCTGCGGTTCAAATAATGGTTCGCACCCAATTTTTGAAGTTGGTTAAATACATTTTATGCAAGCCAAATTTATTAAAGTGAGAAAAACCAAAAAAATTACTGAATTTTGCTAAAAGGTATCAAAAATAGTCATTAATTGTCCATCATGCGCAGCTCTAATCATCCTGTGTAACAAAGCCTCCAATATTATACGGCTTTCAGCAGTCACAGGTGAGCGTTGCATTGTGAACTTATTGGACAGCATGCAATTTTTACCTATAATGAATGTGTCTGCGCCTATTTCGGACGACTTATCGATAACAATATTTAAACAGGGAATGATCACTTCACATCCTTCGATGCCAAATCGCTTGATAGAGGGAAATCTTTTCCTCAGAAAGTTTTCAAACCTAAAACCAAAAAGCTTTGCTTATTTAAATTTATTGGATAAGTATTTTCTTAAAAATAATATTGTCTTGTTAATTTTACCTACATCTTACTAGTAGAAACGTTTCTTCTATAGAGCACTTTGTTGGATATAGCCCAAAGGCGCTTCTAGGAACATTTATTAAAGATACTTCCTTATTTAAAGCAGCTGATTTGCATTTTATAGTATTGAAATGTTGTATATTGAGCTTGTTTTTAGAAAAACTAGACAGGGCATTTCTTTCTTAGTGAACTAAACTGCACGTGCTGAAAGATCTTAACAAACTTTTTTATACATCATAGGCTGAAAAACGATTTTTTTATGAAATCGAGTTTTTGGGAGATATTTATGTAATCCATGCCCTAATTCTTACGCCACTGCCTATTTTTCATGTGTTTGTTAATATACGGATTTTTCTTAGCTTCCTTACAAGAAAAGCAATCTTGTTACATCTCTCAATACTTTTAAAACATCTCTTCTAACCGAAAACTATCTTTAAAGATAAGTGAGGTGCTGCTCATAAATTTCAAAACTGGGATACCCTGTAAATGTAGTTACCAAGATGCTTCACCCAAACTATTGATAAGGGCAATCTTTTCTTCCTTTGTAGCTGTAAAACTATTTGGCATCTCGAATTTGTTCCTAATCCACATGCGTTGCTGTACATCCTGTATGTGCATGTACTGAATTCCGATATGCCCACAGTAGATCTTCTCTAGTCGATCAATCACTTCTTTTAGTGGTAAATGTGAATCACTGCCACCGATATAAGTCCACGGTGGTAATTTCAGTACCGTATCATGAGAAATATTTTCTGCAAGTTCGATGGCAACATAAAAACTTTAGAAACGAGTTATCTATTTTGTTCTTTGAAAACTCTACAGCTGTTAACAAAGTGGAAACTGTTATTTTCTGTATTATTATACAAATATAGGATAAATACAAAACGAATTAAAGTTGGGCAAACATTTTCAAGCTACAATACTAAATTACTGTTGCGACACAGGCACAATTTCTGTACTTTTAAAAAAATAAATAAAATGAGAAAATAAAATATAGAAAACGCAATAAGAATACTTTTTTACTGTCAGCATAATATTGGAAACTTAAATTATGTTGTTTTGGTAGTTTTAGAATTGAAGCAAAAGCATTTCCCTAGAACTGTTTGCGTTATAATTACTAAAAAAAATATTAAGATTAATTTGAAGCACATTGTATCAAATATATGTACGTTATAAAGTTGATACCTAATTTGACGTGATGGCAAATATTCTCGATGTTGCCCTTTAGTTTTGCAATTGAAGTGGAATTGCCATCAACCGCCGTTTCTAGAGGATCGGTTTTTGCATATAAATACCCACGAGCCTGGACGGGTCTCAGAATGAGAATTTTTTGGTCGGCTAATGGAATGCCTTACCTGGTATCCCTTGATGATCATTTGCAAAGCAAAATAGGCTTCCACCGTTCGTGCGTCTAAATTATATTCAACTCCTTGGTGATCCACTGTTGATACATTAGAAGAGCCACTGTTATCCAGGTTCCGAAAATAAGCTTCAATGCTCTGTATTCCAGTCATGTTATTGTTATTAATAATAGCACAATAATCAAATTCTTTTTTAAAATGCACTTACAGGATGGACCGTCTGGGAATTCTCTAACCACTCCTCATACAATTGTTCCATATAACAGGCATTTGTACCATTCAGGAATGAATGGTTGTAAACTGAGGTCGGCAAATTTGTTTTACTGGAATAGAAATTGGCACAATTTCCTTGGAAAATAGATAAACGAAATTTTGAAGCCCCTCCCAATGTTAAGAGGCACTTTGAAATTTTGCCCATAGTTATGCTATATTCGGGTTAAAAAAAAAAAAATATTGAAATTTGACTCAAGTCTACATTCGCTTTCGTCTTTGTGTCTTTCACGTGACAACTTTAGTTGCTTGGCGACTAGAAACATTAATTTCGTGCGATTAGATACCAAATATGTAAGTAACTGAAGTTAGATATAATTTCTGTAGGTATTTTATAATCCAGATTGACGACTTTCATATAACTTAACATAAACTCTCTGTATATTTGATGTCTTACAGCTGCTGAAGCATGGAAAACAAAACTCTAAATATATTGTTGTTGTTATTGTTGTATGGTTTTTATTTATTTTTGTCTTTACAGGGTGGACCAAATTGGACATCTTCTAAAACACATACACGAAAACTGACGTCGATGACTGAGGCATAATTTTCATAAAAAACAATGATAAAAACCTCACAACAAATACAAAATATTCTAGGCCTTAGATATCTTTTGAAGTTTCCGAGGTGTAGGGTGTATTTAGAAAATGTGCATTTTATAATAAGTCGTAAGTTTTTTGACAGGTATAATTTATTTCAATAAAAATAATGCCAAAGCAAATTTTTAATCGTTTAGTCGCTCAGTTCCAAATTTCATACCACATCTTTTATTTTTTTCTAAAAAGATGTCAAATGTCAAAGGCAATTTTAAGTTAAATCAAATATATCTCCGATACAAAAAATTGGGTTTTCCATTGATAAATCTGAAACCACTAATTTCTACGTAAAATGGTGATTTTTATAGAAACACAAAAATTTTCCATAGCAACAAAGTTATAGTTAAAAACACCCTACAACTCTGTTTTTTTATGAAAATTAAGCCCCCAGACACCGATATGAGCTTTTATTTCTTCTAGAAGGGTTAGTTTCTCTTTAATAGAATCCATATTGATACACCCTGTACATATAATATCTTCAGTACGCTCGTCGGGAAACAATGCAGTAAGCTGCAAAGATCGGCAAGTCGGGAAGCACACAAAGCAAACAATTGCTTGTATCAACGTGCCTTATTCGATTTCCATTTTTTGACGAATGCGCCGGGAAAAAGATTACTGCACAAAATGATAAAAAATTGACTAGATTGACTGAGAAAATTGCCAAGAAGAATTATTGTTGATCTTAAGAATGCAGGTACGGGTGCGATAAAATATGTTGCTGCTTGACCTACATGAAACCCAAACGGTTGCGAATGTGACGGTAATGTGAAATTATTTGATCACTTTAGCTATAAACTCTTAAAAATTAACATTCTTAAGAGACTTTAATCCATTGCTGACATGGTCGTTATAACAATGACGGCAATGAACTGAGAACCTACCAATGCAAAAAGTCGCTTTGAATCATTAAGGGAAAATATACCGTTATTTTAAAATTTGTATTATATAGAATTTTTTTCATTATTTTGTCGGTCAGCATTAAACTTTTTTTTTGCCTTGCCGTCCAATGAAGTACCAATATGTCGTTGGCATCAATGAAAAGTTATGTTGCTACGGTAGTGGTGAAAAGTCTTGTTGATAATAACATGTTATCACAAACAATTTTTGATAATTATCAAGCTCCATTTTAAAAATATTTAGCACAACGAATGGCAGTTACCTTAGTCTAAGTTCAGTCGTTTATTTGACTTATATTTATCGTAATTATTAGGTAAATTATCATCGGGCGCTAAACCGCCTGTTACGGGCGAAACGTAAGCCGATAGCCGTCAAAGTTTGCAGGGAACATTATCACGTATGAAAAGAGCAACTTGAACACGTGCCTCATTTTTTAAACCCACTTTTGGTGTAGTACAAGTATCTATTCGCGTACGCAATCTGCGCTGACGTATTTATTTTAAGTTATTTTACAATTAAGGTGACAATTGATTTCAAACTCGTAAACACCGTGATACGACGCCGCAGCGCTGTTGGGGATATAATTCGCATTTTTCCACAAATCTTCAATCAAAATAACTAGTTTGGAATAGCGTCGTTATATAATCGGGAAGTCTCGATAGATTTAATTACTCGTTGAACGTAATTAATTATGTCGTTAGGATTACTCTCACGATTATTACCGCGACCGGCACAATGCAAATAAAATTTTAAGACTGCACATTTAATCGTCCAACAACTAACAAAAACGTATGTATTCGTCACGGCCATTACTGACTGTAGGATTGACGATCTCGATCAAAAATCCCCGCATGCCTGGCCGACTTCACTCAACAAACACCCTTTAAACCGAAAATGGGACCAAAACCACTTCTACTGTGATTCTATATTTTAAGGACAAAGAAAAAGAATAGTAAAGAGAGCCGAGATATAGCGAAGGTTTCATTTACAATTACCGCTCAAGATAAGATATGAAGATTTCAGCAACAGTCCGTCTTAGCAATTTTCAAAAAAATACTTGTTTAATATTGGTAGCGAGATACGCCAACTTGTCCCTCAGTTCGCCGAAGACAAGATAATGAAGGCAGAAAGTTATGACAGTGATTTACGATTAGGAGTTTCGCCATTTTGTAAATAAATCGCATGTTCTTGATGCTATTTTAAGTTGTTAATGTTATGTGTATGTTAAACGAAAATTTGAAGTTCATAAACTGGGTCAGACTATAATCGGGACAGACGAAGCTTGCCACTTTCAAGTATTTTTTTCGCAGAAGTTAAAGACAAAAAAAATCACAAGAAATATAATAACTAATATCGTTGCATCTGAAAACCAGAATCGGGCATAATACGAGTTCGTTTGGTTGCTATTTTGTATAAAGAAAGACGACGAGAGTCGGGAACTGAAAGGGAGGAAATGTATGTTTCCAAAGTTTATACAAAGTGGTAAATACAGTAGCTCGAAGTTAGATGCAATAAACAAAAATAAGCGTTTCTATTTGGTAACTTCTACTTGTGGTTAGCTGGCTTCGAAGTTTAAAGTAAGAAACTTCAATGTATTAAAATTTTAGTTATCGTAACTACAACAATTATATATTGAGTAGAGTGAAAGACTGAAATTTAGTTACAGCCGATGCCTGTCAGTCTTAGGCTAAGCAGTTATTTAGCATCATTTTAAAAAATATATTTTATCAAATTTAAATTTTAGTAAAGTTAGTATAGTTAGTATAAGAAACAATATAAAGTCAAGGGTGAGACCGAAAGCGATAGAGACAGGGAAAGAGATAACGAAGCTAAAGAAATCATTATTTTCGCACTTTTTCGAGTTTGTCAATTATTCAAGTGATTTGTCAATCATTTATAGCCATATCTTATACCATAATAGCTTTCATAACAACAAATTGGAAACAAATGTCAATCTGGACATAGCCGAAATACGAGTTGATGGCCAATGATATTGTTTAGGTTAGTTTCCTTTCTCAATATCGCTAGCGGTTTCGGTTACATCGCACTTTGTAAAAGTAGTAGGTAAGAAGTAGGTAAGTAAGAAGTTTAAAGTGATCACAAAAATGTCTATAAGATAAAAAAGAAGTATTAAATTATTGCAAATTTTACATTGAAGACAAGCTCTTTTGACAAAATAAGTTAAAAGTTAGACTTTTACTTTTATCAAAATATGAGTTATTTTTATTTATATTACTAGAAGTAAAAAAACCGACCCTACAGTACCACTTGTCCAAAATTCTCTCAGCATCTCCGATCCGTCTAGATAAAATTCCATTTGAGATGCCAGGAGTTTACAGCATTCCAAGCATATGCGGCAGAGAATAAACTGGAGGGACCGGACGAAAAATATCAACTAGGCTCAAAGAACATGAAAGAGCATTAAGACCGAGACAGATAAACTTATTGGCAGTTGCCGAACAAAACTAAAATTCTTTCATGTAATCATTTCTTCTACAAACAAAAAATCCGAGAATCTATAGAAATCTATAAGCAACCTCACGATCTTAGCCGCGACTCAGTTCTTTACCTATTGCCAATATGGGAACAGTCATCCGAGACTATGTTTATGCCCTCATTTAGCTCAGCCCCTCTCAAAACATATATATGCAGGTACAGAGTAAAATGCGAGCCAGTTTCAGTGAAGGTCTGAAGAAGCCAACAGGATGATTGGGGAAACGTTAGCAAGTTCGACTCAACAAAAACCGACACAGGAGGGATCCAGAAGTTGTGTAAATAGCACCTAGATTTATGATAGGTACGACAATAACCCAACAAACATGCCATATTCAGCCAATAACTGGGTTTTGCTGCTGCTGTGCTAACTATGTAATCGTTATTCCCGTTAACTAGAGATTAGTGCCAATAAATGAAATTGCAAACGATAATTAAAAAGAACGTTTTTGTTTTATTTTTCTGTTTCCAGTCATTTTCTAACAACTGGGTATTTTACCCTATATGTTCACAGCAATTTCTTCTTGGTTTTCAAGAAATGTGCATATTAAAATTTAATTGTATTCCAAGTACGCCCATCCTTTGCATCCCTTTAAGTTGAATTGGATTGAAACATTTGAGATAATTCTTATAGTTATCGTTAAAACTTCCCCATTTCTAATGGCATGGGGTTCACGAAATCCATCCCTCGAAACAAACAGCTGGGCGACGTTGAAAGTATTAAAATCTCCAACTCCGTCGATTCCCGATGTGCCCCTTCCTAATAAATTTTATAGTAAACGGAAATCAATTTACTGTCACGGGAAATGAATTTAAATAATGAAAACTACGAACGAAGCAGTTGTAATCGCCGCCGCCGAAAAAAAAGCGCTCCCGTTGACGATCGTAGGATTTGAAGCTGAAGCGATAAAATAAACTAACAAAGTTGTGGATGACAGGTGGCATTATGTCGGTCAGACCCGCACATGACATTTCAATACGCTGACAAGCGGGGACAAGTCCAAATCACGCACAGGTGGACACACACGATATAGTCAGGTACATAATATAAATTTAATTCGGTGTTCGCGGTTTAAGTTCAGTGAGAACCTGAGCATCGTTTGATGTAAATAAATGCCTTGCCGTTGTGTATTTGAGTGTGGCAGTTGAGATAAGTGCCGCTATCGATTTCGCCGTTATATTATAGGTAAGGAAAATGAACTAAGCGGTTTAATTATTCAAGGTGAGATGTCAATGCCAAAGCTGTTTTAAAAAATTAACTTTGGCCTAAAAAGCATACGCATCCTTAAGGCAAACTCGCTTTGTTTGTTATGGAACCGTTATTTTTCTATATTTTTCCAATTTTTGGAACACGTTGGACAAATGGCATCGGTAGGAAAATAATAAACTTGATGATGGTGGCAAAAAAACTTATTCCGCAGAAAAATTCTTAAACATACGACAGGCGGATTATTTTACAAATCTTTCATACTACCCATCTATCTAAAATTATTTTACTTACAAAACTTTGCGCAGACTGAATATTCTGACTGAGAAATATTACAAATGTTCAAATAGCAAGTTTAACAAATGGTTTTCATTATTATTAAGTTTAATAAAAGAATGTACCGTGTATATCATTATTTTACATTATGCCTAACTCAAAAAAAAAAATTCTTTACGACTTACGTATGTGGAAATTTTATATTACATTTTATTTACGCATTAGTAGCGATTTTGTGAAAAAATAATGCTAGTATATTGTAAATATGTTATTGTTGGTTGTTGGGAGATGAAATTTTTACTGAAAACCAAAACTAACCACAACTAACCAAAAATAGATTTATTTTGGGTGCTCGGATACTCGACTTCCCTCTGCCATGTGTTTTGTTACGTCAATCATTAATTTCAAATGATCCTGTATACTGGAGAATGGATGTATTTCAAATATATTTCAGCATTCAGTGAGTTCAAATGGCAGATAAGTAAAAGTTTAAATGATATCGCATTTGGAAGAAAGAAAAAAGAAAATCGTACTATATAATCAAAAGGGGGCAATAGATCTAGAAAAATAATAACATTTTAGTGACATAGTTATAGTTATTTAACTTGACGATGTTGCCATATATTATTATTAGAAGCGGCAACGTTACATCGTCCAAAATATTTTAGTTCTATAGATCAGATTGGAAAATCTGAGTATCCAAATTAAAAAAAAATCTTTTTTCGGTTCTCTGTAAACGTCTATCGATCATCAATCTCGGCATAGTAAATAATATTTGAATAAGGTTTGGGTCTTCTTGGTCTTCTCAACTGTATAAGACCGCTATTAAAAAAACAATACCTATTTCGGGAAATTACGAACATAACTATTTCGAAATGCGTTGTGGCCCCCTGCACACACACGCACACATTAGTATCAGCAAAACTACGAACTATACCATACTTGATTTGTTACTAATCTATCACTACTGATTTAAGAACGAGATTCCCTGTAGATAAAGTTATATAGATATAAAGCCCTTGAATATTAAAACTTTTTTTCCTCATCCTATCTTGCCCCTTAGGGATCTATGGATCTGCTATTCTCCAGAATTCGTTTCCTTTCAAAGTTATGCCAAGTATAGACCTTTTTAGTGGCAGTTAAATCGTGCTGCTTACTATTCTATACTCTACCTACACACACATGGTTGGAAGACAGTTTTAAGCCTTCTACAAATCTAATGTTACGTTTTGTTACAACTTTTTTGGGAAAATTGCCAACAATTTTCTTGACTTGTAAATTATTGTTTCAAAGAATGGAAATGTTTTCTGAATTATATTGCAGAAAAGGTAAATTTTTCTTCTAGTGTTTCATTTAGAAAAAAAAAAAGATGATAATTAAAATTTTCCAAAAAGCATTTCGCCGAGCATCTCGCAGAACAGCCATTTAGTGCTTTTGTCACTTTGTATCTAAACGAATTTTTTTATGGTGCGCATACGTTTACGATCGTCGCTAATTCAAATGCGATGCAATTTACTCAAAAGCCACAACCCAGTGTAATTATTGTGGTCCGTTTTTTTTTCGCTGCGGTTATATTTTCCAATAAACTTTGTCAAGTTTCTACTCAGGCAACGAAACAGTATAACTAATTTATAGGAATTTAAGGATTTCTTTTAGCGATTCTAAAGCGGTTCAAGAGAATTAACAAAATGGTGTATTTGTGCCGTACCAGATCCTAAAAACTGTAACGGTTTTATTTTGGAAAAATGTTTCTCAATCCATTGCCCTGAGGATATTTATTTTTTTCAGTTATTTTAAAAGGTCCAAGGAAATATTAGGTACATGGAAAATATATGAATATAATTTTATTATCAATACATTTCAATATGAGTTCTAATAAGTATGGTGAGGTTTAGTACTATATACATAAAAAAAAATAATTTATTGTGGACAAATTTTTTTTATAGCTATGGATAATTTGGTTCAGTTCCTCAGCGGTTTATATGCGATAATATGTATTCTTTAAAAGCCACAAAAATGCCTTTAAATCTTATTTCTACAAATTGTCGAATTCTTAGGCAACAGTAGCAAAATCGTCCGTCATTCTTTGGAATCATTGAACTGCGATATGATTCTCGCATTTATATCGATAGATAAAGAATATTATCAAGTCGATTTTTACAAATTGCGATTGTGATTTTGCTTTCAGATGTCGGTCGATCATGAGCCCACTGTTTTGTCTAGATCCTCAGCAAAACCTCAAGTGGATACGCCGTACAGTAGAAAGGTACTGATACGCGCTTTTCATTTTATGATAAGGTCAGTCTACAAACTGTAATCGTGCTGCTCGTATTCCTACTTAATAATTTTTCTTACACTTTTGTACGAATCTAAGTCGGTGACACTATCGGTGTTTGAATTTGAACGATGGATATTATACATATACCTTCTGGGACAGAAGAGAAAAAAAAGAAAAAGGTGAGAATATTTGAGCGGAGCGAAAAAGATTTTATACAGTACGATTTGAAGATGTTTCTGTTCGAAGTGGCAAACCTTCAAGTTTGACCTTCCTAGTTCGTTGACCAATTATCGATTTGAAGAAGACATCAGCATTTTTTAGATAAAACCAGTAAAAGTGGGTTCTAGATTATTGAACTTCAAAAAATTGACCACATTATTTTAAGTAAAAGAGTGTTAAAATTTCTCAATCTTTTTTTATAGTAGAAGAATAACAATTTTTTAATAGTAGAAATGGAGTAAATATTTCTGAAAAAATATTATTACTTTTTTTTTAATATAACCGTTCACTTTAATATATCGATGTATTTGGCCTGGCTAATACTTTCCGATGGGAAAAAAACCACCAAATGGGGCGTATTCATCTGTACTCAACAGTAAAGGCGCTGGGAACTTTGTTGGTATATGTTTCATATTTTTCGATTATTCGATTAGAGAAGTCTCATTTGAATAAACTTCATTTTGGAAAACAAATCGGAAACGCGATGTTAATTAATTATCTGAAAAAATGCAACAACTTTGCTAATGTAACGGATTTTCAATAATAAAGAAGTTGGCAATAGTGTCCATTTTAGAATGTTCACGCTGTATATTTTACTCGATATTTCAATATTCCATTGCACTCTTAATCATAATCGTAAACAGACTTAATCGATACTCTTAATAAGTTTGATTTTATCTACACAGCTTAAACTCATTTTGTGTTCGTCAAATAATTTATTATGGTTTATCAATTAGAGAATATCGATTCAAAACAAATTTTAACCCATTTCGGCGATTTCCAGGTAATTTGTAACAAAAAATGAAGTTACGGTCCACCGCAAAGAGCTTAACTTTCTTAAATGAGGTATATTGGATTGGTAGTTTTATTTCTATATGCGAATCATCTGAACACCGATTTGCTCCAGAGACAAATTAATCAAAAATGTTTTCGGCTTATGCTACAATATCCTTGCTAGTCTGATATCAGAAACACACATTGCAAGGATCAGTCAGTACAACCCTTGCAGAAAATCGCTATATTAATAATTGAAAAAATTCGCTTTTATTTTCTAGAGTATAGTCCGAAGAGACTTCAACCACAAACATGTAAATTGAGAAGTTACATAAGTGGTTGGTTACTGGAAGAACTCAGTCTTCCGGTAAAGTGTATAGAGAGGTGATTTTTCCTACCACTATTTTCTTTTTTTGCCTAATATCCAAGGTCAACATAAATAAATTTATATATCGCATAGCATTCGGACTGTAGTAGAACAATGAAATAAAATTTCTTGAAGAATATTAAGGACAAAAATTTCTGTTTTTTAGTTACAATACATACTATATGCAACAAAAAATTCAAACTAACCAAAACTATCTGTAATCAGTTAGTTAGAAGACAGAGTTGAAATCAAATAAAAGTTTGGAGTTAAATGCTAATACATAATATTTCAAGAAAAGTTGGCATGCTGGTGCATTTCATAAACCTGTCTAACGATCAAACAGAAATGTTCAAGATTTATTGATCTGATTTCTATCAAGCTTTAGGTACATCCTAGTATCAGCGGATCCGCCAAAGACCTCAGTTTTTGCTGTATAGATGGCAGCATGGTCTAAATTGTACTCGTTTCTCAGAAAAGGCGTTTATATGTGTATTGTACACATCACCTTCTTCTCCAGGAAGGTTAGAATTGTGTTTGACAACATTGGAAAGCGGAATTTAAGGCTCTCCAACTGCCACTATATATGTCTCTACCGACAAAATTTTAATCGTCTCATATTTTGTTAGTCCTAGATTAGCATTTTTTTAGCACCTGCCTACACAATAATATGGATATATAAAATATGTTAAAAATGCCCGACATTATAATTTGGTTACAATTGAGAATACACCCTAACAGGTGTGTAAGGGAGTTCGGTCTTATATCGATTGGTCAAGCTAGGCCACCGGAAAACTTTGCGGCCCTTTAACCGGGTGCATGAAGATCTCGAGAACAAACTTAGTGACGATATAATTTCACTTTTCCTTAGGTCAGTATCGTGGAACACCATATACACGACAAGGGGCACGAAAATCATGCTTTTGAGTCACCGGCCAGAAGCAGAAAAGTATCAGCTACCTCCGAGTACGCGGAAATAGGACCCGTAAGAAAAAAAAGTATTCTACACCACCATATAAGCAACGCTTTCGAAAATACCAACGGAGTTTATGGTAAAATGTGAATATATACACTAGAGTTTTAGATATTAGTTAATATATTAGTCCCTTTTGAACATAAACGTAATGATAATGTTAGTAATAAGAATGACATTAATTAAATAGAAATTTGAAGACAATATATATGATAATACACAAATTAATAAATAAGTAAAGAAACTCCACTGAAACTTTACAATGCAGAGGTGTGGAAAGCAGTATCAAGTGTATCAACACATTTCTTGTGTATTATTGAGTTCAACACAAGGCCCGCTGCTTGTGTATATTAATGACCTAACAAACATATAGCCTTAACGAAAACTGTTATTTGTGTAAATGTCCACAATTTTACTAGTTTAAAAAAATTTAAATCATTAACTAAACGTGAAGAAAAGTACAAAGTAAAATTTTAATAATTAATAATTCTAACCGAAAATTCGACAAGAAAGTTTTACGAAATTACGAAAGTTTTATAAAATTGGTTCGACAGTTGCGCGTCTGTTTTTTGCGTAGATTATGCATATTAGTTACTGAGAAAATTCTATTACAATTGAAAGTTAAAGACGAAATAATTTTATAAACAGTCACACTAGAAATTTAATGATTATTAGGACAAGGTGGAATATTGTATTAAACAACCCTTTAAAAAATGCAATATTTATTTCGATATATTCTTAAAATGGAAAAGTATGATTTTCAAAATTTCTAATATATGTTATGGAATCTATTGAACACAGAATTATCAGTTTCAGTTTATCAGTTTAATGCTAAGAGTTGTGTCATTTGCTATTTATGCATTACTTATAAATATCTAAAATTATTTCCTTTAGTAATTCGCTCATAAATTCGATTTATTATTTAGTGTCCCCTTCTTTCTGTATGAAAACGGCGAGTCGTTTTTTGTTGCTTTTTTTTGAAGTACTCATTTCGTCGGTACTAGTCACAATGCATCCTTCCAACAGTAAATGCGTTCATTATTCAGATAAAGAAGATCCGTACCCGTGCAAAGCGTGTTTTGTTTCTGATCGTATTGCTTATACAGATGCAGGGAAAGTGCACAATGCCGACAGAAAAAAGAAAATTTCCACCACAGAGTCTGTCAATTCCAAATATTCAGCATACTCGAAAACATCTGCATATTCACGAGCTAGATTATCGGACGATGTTAATGACGATAAGTAAGTGTATTAACAATTAATGAATTTTAGATCTAAAAATCTACTACTAATAGAAATATGGGTAAAAATTTATCTAAGTTGTTTTCGAACATATCCACTTACTTTAATGATTTATCCATTATTGGTCAAGATTATTCGAATACCATGAACAATTATATAGTTTTGTCTTACTAGATAGTTTGTTACCTCCATCATGCCCCTTTGAATTAATTGTGACTCACAATATTACTCGTCTTTGTTGTAGATCATGGTGGTACAGTTTTTGTATAAAGTGTCGGACGCAAGAGAACCATCCCTCGTGGCATCCTGGCATATGGCCTAAAATCTGCCCTTATCCATTTTGCCCCACATACCGCCAGTTTTCAAGAATAATCGCCGTAGGGCTGATAGGGCTCCTATCGTGGTGCGTGCTATACGCTCTCATTGGAGATATAGCGGCCCCACCGCATGGCATAATTTACCAACTAATTTTGTTGAGCATTTGCGCCCACTTCGGGGGTTGGATAATAAGTCTGACGACGCTTCCTGCCCTTATAGGCATGCTGTTCACGGGACTGCTTTTCCAAAATGTTGGCGTTGTCAACATAAACGAGGACTTTTCCGAGATCACAAAGGTGTTTAGGTAATTTCCTATGTATAATATTTTTGAGTTTTTCAAATATTAACATGCGGTCCAGTTAACTAGTTGGTTGCGGTAGTAATCATCAACTTGAAACTACCATCAAGATAACCAAGAAATAATTGTTGCTTTCGCGAGGTTCACTATTGGTTTTATATTGAATTTTCAATTCAGAAAATTTTTTGGGAGGAAATAAAATTAGGTCATTGCACCAGCTCCTCCTTACATTTATTTACGTCTCTTTTAGGAACATAGCATTGGTGATTATACTAATAAGGGCTGGGTTGGACTTGGACCCGTCCGCCCTTCGCCGGTTAAAGTTCACTGTGATGAAACTCGGGCTAATTCCCTGGATCACGGAGGCGTCAGTAACGGCAGTGTTTTCCAGATACTTTCTGGACATGCCGTGGAACTATGCTGTGCTTCTGGGATCAATCATTGCTGCCGTATCGCCAGCGGTTGTTGTGCCATGTCTGTTTAGGTAACCCTAATTAGGTCTTGAGCGGGACAGTTTTTATAAACACTTCATGTTTAAGGTTGCGGTCTAAGGGATACGGCGTAGCTAAAGGCATTCCGACCCTTATTATAGCCATAGCGGGTATTGATGATGCCTTATCCGTGGCGATGTTTGGCGTCATCAAAAGCATCATGTTTTCCAGCAGTTCGGTTACTTCCGTGATTCTTCAGGGACCTGTTTCTATTTTGGGCGGTTTGGGATTTGGGATATTGTGGGGAATTCTTTGTAATTACATTCCTGAGAAGCACGATCCATTTTTGGTAAGTATTACCATATACCAATACCATTCTATGGCCAGAATATGAATATTACATATCACATTAATTCGACAATATAATTAAAATTATAAGTGCAGCTACTGTATAACCTAAACTATGAAGAACGCTTTTTTCGGACATCTGGGCTTTTCCCTTTTGATCTTGACATTGTGAGACTACTAATGTTAATAACGTTAATACTTATTTGGAACAATCTGGAGTTAATGGGCCACTCTTGAAGTGGAAATGCTTTCCAGAATACCACAGTGTTTCAGCTTTAAGCTATTCATATTTTCCGATGGGACAGATATATTGAGATCCAGTTTGTACTGAGTTGTTAACTGTCAAATGCCGTAAAAAAGTCATATTGTTGCATGTCAGACAGTCTCATCTGTTGGCAAGATAAGCAATCACAATTAGCACGGTTGATAGAATACGAAAAGTGTTGCTCCGAGACGTTAAAACCGACGAAAACAGTGCTCACTCTGTATAGGGTGGACATAAAAACCCATTTTAAAGACTTTCAGAAAAAAATGTTGTTGTTTCAATACAAAACTCTAAATGTTATTTTCATTTTTTATGGTTCGACGAATGAAAAAGAAGGCAAATAGATATCAACTTTTAGGGACTGAAGTAGACGTAAAGAGTTTCCACATTTTCATTTTTTAGTTTAATTTTATGACATGAATCTTTTGCTAGATTCCTTTGAGGATCCTTCTGCTCCTAGTGGGAGGTTTGATCACTGTATTCGGAAGCGACCTCATCGGATACAGCGGTGCCGGACCTTTGGCTTGCGTGTCCACAGCGTTCGTCTGTTTAGTCTGTTGGACGAAACAAGGATGGGAAATCGACGACAATCCAGCAACTACCGCGTTCGAAATTTTCTGGATGATATTCGAGCCAGTTTTATTTGGTATCACGGGAGCTCAAATTAACCTGAACCAAATGGATGGAGCGATTGTCTCTATGGGATTGGGTATACTGGCGGCCGCCATTATTATCCGGATAGTTATCACGATCCTAGTAGGCATCAGATGTCAATTGAATACCAAGGAGAAAGTTTTTATAGCTTTTGCGCTGATGTCGAAAGCTACTGTGCAAGTAAGTTATCTTTACGTTCGATATCTCATTTTTTGCGTGTTTCACTTTGATGCGTCATATCTTGTTTACGAGAACCTGCGGACCGATACTGATTTATTGTTACGGGTCTCGGAAAAATCTAGTTCAATCATTTTCAAAATTTTATGATTTATTTATTTTTGTTTTATTGTTTTATTATTGTTTTATTGCATAAAAATATACGTCTAAAATAAGTTTACAAGAGAATATTTTAAGATAAAGTATTAACAATTGCAAAAACTTATTTAACAATTTATTTAATTGAATTTATTTCAATGACTTAAGACGAAACATATGTTAATCTAAACTTAAGCGCCTACGTTAAGCTACATTGAACGAAAGAAATCAAAACTTTGCTTCTTCTTTAGGTGCCTTCTTCCTTCCTGAAGGTTGGCGACAATGGCAGAAAACTCTTCTCTATTCCTTGCTCTTCTCAATAGGGTGCACATGTCTAATCTTGTCCTCTCTCTTATGTTTTTAAGCCATTAACATCTACATCTTACTCTATGTTTCCTTCCATGATCAGTCTCGAACTCTATAAAAAGTATGATTGACCAATTAACCATAGAAGATTGAAAAACGACAAGAACTTTTCACCGATCGAAGATAATATACTACTACAATTTTACTGTAACATTTTTATTGCAGGCAGCACTAGCTCCAGTAGCACTCGCCACGATCAGCAACGAGTCCTCAGTTGAGCATGAGTACGCAGAGAAAATCCTGATGATATGCATCCTGTCTATAATGCTCTCAGCGCCAATTGGTGCCATCATGATCACCATTCTGGGTCCCAGACTTCTCACAAAGACTAAATTCCCCGTAATTTCTGATGGCTGGCGCCAATCACATCGGCCTTCCATACGTGATATTAGCATCATCGACGAAGAAGAGGAGAAGGCGGACATCGAGAGCGTTATTTCCGATTCTCCAAGCAGCAAAGACAGGTCTTCAAACAAGCTTGAAAACACATTGTAAAATGCGTTCCCTAAAATAACGTTTGGTCTTCTTAAATAAGAGTGATGGCATTTTAAGAGAAAAGATATTTGCAAAAAGAATCTACGCCCATTTAGTGTATTATATGGAAATATTTTTTTTTCTACTGTGGGTGTGGAAGTCGTTGTGGAAAAGTAATTAATATACTTAATTACATAATTCATTTCGTTTTAACATGTTTCTAATATTGTTGTATGTAATGAGTGTTATATTTTATCAGGTAATTTTTATCCTGTTTCTACGGTCCGAACAAAGAAAACATATTTTAAAATGAATATTTTTTTAATAAAGCTAGTAAAGATTTTGAAATGTCATTATTTTACCTATTCTCAAAGTTGACAGAATAAATGTATAGGTTGCCTCATTCGAGGCCACGCAAGCTACTACCTACCTTCATCCCCGCACAGTGGTTGTTGCATTTGGGAAGCGGATTCTATTTCTCGATCAACGAGAAATCCGCTATCTAGTTAAATACCGGATAAAAGAGGGTAAATTTAGTGCTTCTCGTGGATCAGTTTGATAAACTCAATTATGACCTCGCTTTACTGTAGCATTGTTAGTGTTTTACCTTTTTCAGTACTTTTCGAAGACTATAGAAATCTTAGTTGCCCAAGAAGTAATTCTACTAACTTATTAGTTCTAAAAAAAAATAGTATGGTATGACAGGAACAAAATTTTGTCTAAATCTAAACCTAAATTCCTATTCTTGTTGGGTTAGTGTTTTTTTCAACGGTATAGCTGTGTTAGACATAGAACCCAAAAATGTGATAAATGTGCTATATTGTGAACTATACAAACAGCCTAATTGAAAAATTGACAAATATAGGACATGGATCGTATTTTTTCCGAAATACCAGATAAATCAGTCAGTTTTTGAAACCTGAAACTATAGCCATAATTATCGATCGCTCTATAACTAATCAGTTTTTACTATTAATAAGCGAACTATAAGAGGTGGAATGCATTTGTCAGAGAAGACAGATAGATAATTCTCAATTAAGAATCCACCTAGGTTGCTAACCAATCGCAGTAAGTAAATTCGTTGATATTTAAAAACAAGTTTTTATTACAACAAAATTACAATTTTAGTGACAATGCTCAAACTATAAAAAATTTACAACACTATAACTATACAGATTCGTTTAGAGTAATGAGATTGGTCGGTGATTTTTTTTAAATAGCCACGATCCGTGGATACGTGCATCTCTTGAATACAACGCAAGTTGGACGAAGTTGTAGCTCGTTATTTTCAGATTTTATCTCAGCACAAATTAACGTTGCCCTCAGTCCGTGCAACTAAACACTCTCGAATGATGTTACAAAAATTAATCTACCTTGCCTTTTGTTAACATGTTTGATTGTCCTCATTTTTTTATTACAAAGTGTGGATATCGATCTAAAATTTTGGTTAGTGGATGATAGTTGTCCAAAAATTTGTTACGCTCTTTTAACCGCTGCTATGACATTTGAAGAGAAAGAGGTGTGAATGCTGCTCTAGAAGCTTCACATGCCTGAGAATAATCACAATTTCTCAGATCTTGAGAGAAACACATTTTTAATGAAACCTTACCGATTTGTATACATAATAATTTTCGATAAATTACTTTTATTAAAAAATGTTTAGCTAAATATATATAGCGCAACACATATTAAGTATAAGACGTGCAGATTAGCAAACTATTGTGGTTGTTCTGCACGTCTTTCGAATATTGCTAATAATCAAATAATACAGAATATGGTATTAGCTGGATACTTATCGGGGAAGTGGCCAACACCCCTTTTCACACTATAAGCTCCAATGAATAAACAAAGCATGTAATTAAAATATTAGCTTAGTAATAGACTAATTAGACTAAACCCTAATTGTAATACACTTTTCTTTACTTAAATCTGTTGAAGTTTACAAAAAATTAAAGGTACACAAATCTGTACAGTTACACGCAATTTTTGAAATGAATTGGAAGGATCGAAGGATATCTTCGTAACAACTCCCCCTTGAGAAGGCATTATCCCGTAACAACTTTTTGTCAACTTTTTTTACGTAAATTTAATTTTACAACTTTACAACAACAGAAAATTTTCCAACGTCCCAGTAACACATAAAATTGTCTTCACAATAATCATGATATGGACTTAGTAACGTCATTATGTTAAATACTTTTGCTAAAATCTCATCGACGACGATAATAATAATTACAGGATGTTTAATGGTAAGTTTAAGAAATATTTTCTGCCTTAAAAGCTCCAATTTCACAATTTGAGGATGCAAAACATGTGGTATTTGTTTGTCCTGATATGTATTTAAAATACTAATTATAGGAACAATTTTCAGTGATGAGCGAAAGAGACTTTAATTTGCGAGATTTAAATCAAGCCATGTTTTCGATTGCTCACCAAAAAACACCCCAAAAAAATGTTATGAAAAAAAAACTAAAGTCATGGGTATTTATTCAAAAGAGGCTTAAAAAATTAATACAAACGGTGGGTGATAAATTCTGAAAATAAAGTAGAATTTCAAAACGTGCTTCCCCATCGTATTCTGAGATATATAGGGTGACCAGACATATATTGTTCACGCCGCCAGTTAAATATACATTATAATATATAAATATATTCTAAATAAAATTTTCCATTACATTAACAATGCGAATCAAAAACAAATTCAAAATTTACAAAATTGTAGCTCGGATCCGAACAATAGATTCGCCAATATGGATCTAAAAATAAGAAAAAAACTGCGGTTAAAGGAATTTAAAAATTATTGAATTTTGAATTTACTTTCGAATATCGAATAAAAATAATTCATAAATTATCGGTTAGTTAGTTAATTGGCAAAATGTATATTTAACAATGATATTTTCCTTTGCTGTACAGCCTTTTAAAAGTCTTATATTTAGTTTTGTCTAGGTATTGTGGCAGTTGCAGGTACCACAGAAACAACGTTTCATAAAAAAAAAAAAACGTTGGAACTGAAATCTAAACCTAAACTAGTATCCCGTTATTATATCAACAGGAAAATAAATTACAGGAAATTTTAAGTGAAACAAATACCATAGAACAAAAAAATAGAGCATCGAAAACTAAATAGGCAGTTGCTGTTATTATTTCCGGCTTGTTAACATATACATGGGTGATCACCCTCGAGCAGACATATTGGGAAAAAACTAACAAAAACAATATTATTTTTCCCAATTGTTAAAAGTAATATGCGGTGTGAGTACAAAGAACGAAGAGATGTAACAAAGGGGTGTCTCAAACTATAGAAATTAATTATAGAAAATAGAAACATTAAAGAGAAAGAGCTATTTGTATTGAAGATTCGGATGACAAGCAAAAAATAATCAAAAAATCAAGTCCTTATTTTAAAAGGTGTTGAAACACCTCAATTAATACACTTCCATTAAGCAAAAAACTACTAAATAAAATGTTGAAATCATTTTTGTAAAATACACGTGAACGAGGTAACTAATAATTGCTAGAAACGCGACTTAATTCTATAACAAGAGTAGAGAATCAAAATAGAACAAGTTAGAACCCTTTCAAGCTTTTAATTTTTATTTTAGACTTGCCGTCTATATCTCATGCGTTAAGTGTGATAAATAGAAAAAAAAGTTTAACACACAGGCTACATATTTTGTGGCTTACTTTTTTATTTTTTATCAGATATTTGCCGATATCCACAAATGTCTTCTGGAACCATAATAAAAGTGATGTTTTCCATATGTGAAGTATTTTTCAGGCCCAGGGTATACGCATTTATTAACCTGAATCTACAGTAAAAACGGCGGTCTGATATCTCCCTCGCAATTTTTAGTTTTTCATGGATAGTTCCAACCTTATTGCAAATTTTTTTTTTTTATTAATGTTTAACATATTTGGTATTAGTAGATCCACCACATGTCAATGATTATTTGAAAATTAAAGTTGATTTTATTTTATTATAACTTCATATCCAATTTTACCTAAAATCAATGCATATTTTAATAAACATTTAAAATTTAGTTGTCAGTAATTTTATTTGGCGTTACAGGGTACTGTTAACATTTAAAGACTTCCGTCGCCACGTTGTTCATATTGCCATGGTAACTGGAAAAAGGCGTATTCTATAATAAAAACTTTCCTTTAAATGTATTTTTCAAAATACGATTATCTACATCCCTTGTACTCTCACAATATACAAAAACGTTCCGTTCTCGAAAAGGACTGTCGGTGGGGAAGCGACTTTGCCATTCCACCATCAGTTACACAATAAAGCCCGCCCATCGATTCACAATATCCTAACAGCAGAGTGCGCAAACTTCAATTTTTCTAGATACCTTTGAATCAGTCAATACGCTGACGTATACAGGGCGATTTGCTAAGGGCAACCAATGGATATTGCTACCCTATACGAAACGCCTCGTAGGATTTATTATGTTAATATCACGAAGGTAAATTGGTAACTATTAAAATTAAGCGAAAAAGAAGAACCAAATCCTAACGAATAGTCATTCATCCTTTAAAGTATATTATATTTCAGTTCTTTTCGTTTTTTTTCTTTGTTCATTAACTATTTTATTATAGTAATAAAACGTACCGTTCGGTTAATTAATTTGTAACCATTCTCTCTCTTTATTCAAACAAATTTATAAATTACTTAAGTACAGATTAAAGCTTGAATATTAATTCATTTATTTAGATGGTTTTAAAATTGAGCTCTTACTCAAATATGGCACCAAAATGGTCGTAAATATTTATACAGGGTGGCCTCGGAAAACGTTCAAACCCGCGGTTTCGATCACAACAAAATTCAATGGACTTATTTTGAGTTCGACATTTGTTATAATGATGAAAACATTTTTTTTAAATCGCGACGTGCAATGTGCAAGCCTTTGGTATAATGGCCAACCTTGTCTATGGTTGTTTGTTACCCTAAGAGAACAAATTGGAAAAAAAATCCTCTTGTCGCGTAAAGAGCTAAACGTACATGTAGTACGAACGAAGAAACGAAGAAACTGCACAAGAGCAGCTCTCGGATTTAAGACTGCAAAAATTAGTTCAGCAAGTACGTACCAGTTTTTCTAGAACTAATAAACAGTGAAATAGAAAATATTTTAAAATGACGCAATATTAGATGTGTGTTCACAATAATAGAATCAGAACTGCAAGTAGCACGATACCATTCAAGACCTGCCGCGGGTTTAAACATCTTTTTCCGAAACCGTAATATATTACATAAGTTAAACATCACAACTTACGGAACACCCCATTGAAGAACCCGCGGAGAATATACGAACGAGTTCCCTCTAGGAAACTACTCGTAGTATCTCTGAGGGCCTTGAAATCCCGGACGAGTTTCCAATTCCATGGCCCCGAACATCTCCAGTAGGTCTTTCCTATAATTTCTACCTTCTTGTTTGCTTTTCTCGATTGTCGACAACTGAGTTGGCTTCCTGTGTTCGGATGAATAAGACCTGCTGCTTCTGGGTAATTCGTCCGAATATCTATCGTCCAGTCTTCTTCTTTCGAACGAATCGTCCCGGAATTCTTTCGGGGCCTGTGGTAAATAATAGTTTTCTTCGACGTCGGGCGAAAGCTCGTCTTGAACCTCTTCTTCAATGGGCTGTTCCGTAGATAGCCTCCACTATATGGCGTTCAGCGCTTTTCTCGAAGAACATTTGTGAGACGGCGGCGGATACTCATCTTCCCTGATGGTTTTTGGATCACGGCCCCGATAGTCGCCCCCTTGGAGGTGGTGCAGAGGCACGTGCGCGTTCAGGTGGTCTTTCTCGCAATATTCCTCGTACTCGCGCTCTCTCTCTAATCTACTTCTAGAGCTTCTCGTGTGAGCCGTATGCAAAGTAGGCACTGCATTCAAAAAGTTTTAATTACGGTTAGGGTTAGTCGGTTGTGTGTTTGTTCTGTGGTGTTGTGGGTGAAATGCACACTCGCCAATACTAACTAAATCGGGAGCGTAAACTGGATTGGGCACGTAAAATCAATTTTAAATCCAATCAACAATACTATTAATTTCAAAGTCACCGCTCAGCTAGCTCGCTTTTTTCTTCGTGATATGTGTATTTTAATTATACAGATTTTGGAAAGAACATTTTTTTTTATTAAATAAGGTCAGCAAAGGTCACCCAAGATTCTGTCAACAATAATTATGCAGAAAAACCTGCCAACTTTTTTTGTTATGCCAATTTAATTGAACCAAAATGCAATAACCAATTTTTTCTGAAGGCATATACAACCGGCGATGAAAATATATGTATTTTACAATTAAATTCAATGAAATTCAATTAATTCTTTAAACTTCCAAAAGTATTTACTTAGCTGTTTAATTTTACTCAAAATTATTCTCAATGTATAAAAATGAAAACTCGTTAAACCAAAATTCAAATTAAAATCAGAAATTCAAAATTCAGACTAAAACTTACTACAAAAATTCTGGAAGATTGAACATTTATTAATAAAATATTAACCATTTTATTCGCTACTATTTCTGTTTGTAATTTAGACGTACCATAATTATTTTGTATACATATTGTAATTAGGACAAGTAGAAAAAGTGGATTTTCTAATCATTTATAACGTGGTAGCAGCAAACAACTGATAAATTCTTCAACTTCTGTTCAACACATCTGTGTTAAATATAATTTTCATGTTAATTTTGAGAATATTCTACAAGTATTCTACGTAAAATATCGTTTTTGATAAGGGAAGGCCGATTTCAAAGTAAAATTGTAAAAATCTTCCTTCCAAGAGTTCAGTGAAATTTAAGTAAGGCAATGTGGTTACCAAAAAGTAGTTAACATTTCAATTCAACTCAAAAGAGCACGTGGCCTTTATACCGCACCAGCTGAGTTAGCATCAACAGCAGATTATACAAACCAATTGTAGACGCAGTATTTGGTTTATATTAACTAACCAAAAGGTTCAGTTTTTGCAATGAAATAAAGGACAATTTTTTTCCGAAATTTTTATTTTTGAAGAGAAATATCTAAAGACGCTAAGAGAATACTATTGGAATAAAAATTCATTTCTACCAGTAAAGTATTCGTTTGTTTTAGTTAGAACGACATTTTAATGGACTTCAAGGAAAAAATTAATATTTTTGGAGTAATCTTCAAAAATCATATTGCAGTCGAAATGCCATAATTAAGCAGAAATATTAAAACAGAATATTCAGAGACCCTTTGATTGCATCAGATCGATAAATATATATAAACATCAAATCACGAATAAGTGGTTTTACAGAAATGTGATTTCTTCTGTGCGAAAAATTCATCCAGGATATCGATTTTCACATTACAAGGAACAACATTTCAACAATTTCAAGCGAGACGCTGAACAGCCGCGTACTGATCTTATATTTCCTGAAAAATCGATCTTCCACAGAAAAATTAATATTCACTAAAATTTATTGAAATTCACATTCCTAAATGTTTACACATTTTTAAACCATAACGTTAGAAATATTATAGAACTTTGCATACCTTGAGGATTTATAAGATTGGATGTAAATAAAAATGACAAACAGCACAACAATTTTGTAAATCTAATTAAGTTGAAAAATATGGCGATTACAAGTGGAATTTATCTTCCTTGTAGCACAAGAATCGATATCCTGGCTATTTCGAAGCCAAGCTAACCTATGGAGGAACCTATAGGAAATGAAACGTAATTTGTGTCGTAGATTGCTAGCTCAACGGCGGTTGTTATTCTCGCAAACAAATGAAACTTACGAAAACCTTTAGCTCAAGCAAATAAATCAGTTGAACCCGCGCGCCAAATTTTGCCGGGACTCGGTGCTATGTCTGCTGTTTGTTGTCGTTTAGCGGCAAATAAAGCGTTGTAGTAGCGCACCAGCGAAGCGATTCGAAAAATAAAACAAGAAAAGAAGAAAAATTAAATCAAAAACCGTGCATGTAAAAACTCAACCTCTTAAATCGGAATGGGTGTCATTGATCCGGTAAAATCTGAAAAATTCCAATATATAATAAAAAGTTCAGAAAGAAACAAACTAAATCGGTTTAAATTGTTTATTGTTTGGACCCCTTCAAGTACATCACTCTCTTCTAACTCGATACACGAAATTTCATAAATATAAAATACCGAATAAAGTTATTAAATCTACAGGTGCACTAATATAGGAAATTGGTCAAAAAAGTTGGCTTTAAACTCGAAGAATTATTTCGCAGATAATACGGCCAGTGTTAATTTGTAATGAGAAAACAGCTCCGACATAAATAGAATATTTATGTTACTTTCTTGTCTAAAATAATGCTGCAAGTTTCAAGCCCCAAATCAGTTCGATCTAAAATTTACTGCCTCAAAAGTAAAAAAAAACAATAATGTAAACAAAGCCATTACGCTGCGTAAGCTGGCTCAAAAACACGGACGTATGCGGAATCGAAAAATAATGGTGTTGCCAAACAATTATTTACACTATCTTAAAACTCTACCGTATCGCTTATAAACAACTAAATGCTCAATGCAGTAAAAATACATTCTAAGCGGTTTCGAAATTATATGTTCTTAAAACGATGCAAACGAATCGAGTAGTGTCAAAATGACAAACATGCAGTGACTTTTATAAAAACGAAAGTGATTCTAGAGAGTCTACAGAGTCCCAACTTTGCAATCCTATATATCTAACACCTGCGTGACTACCTCTAGAATCATGGGGGTATCCGTATACGTCATGGTGGGCTGGAAATAAACATAGCAGTAAATTAATGCCGTAGGCCAGCATTTTAATTGAAACAGGCGAATTACCTTTGCCGAGAGGAGAGAAACTATTAAACTAAAAAAACTACTTAATGACTCTAAATAATTAATTAGAATAAAAAAGTCTTTCCCAAAAGAAAATAGAGCAATCGGCAAAATAAAAAAAACCTAGTGGAAGATACATGACGGAAGAAAATGGTATGCCCGAATCTATCAATCGGAAATTCCTAGATGAATATTTTTAAGGTATAGGAATGATTAGTTTCAACTGGAAATGCAAATCTCCAAATATTGTGCCTACTTAGTTATAAAATTTGAATAATTCATCCTTTATTTATTTTTACGGTTGTTATTTCAGAACTATCAAAAAGCACATTGACAAGCAGAAACGTTACCAAAGGAGACTAGACAAATCCTTCATGTTTATGTAGCCAAAGCATAGATCCGATTATAAAAGCACATTAATACTATTATCACATTTCATATTTCTATTTTATATCAAATTTTTTGGCCTAATGTTTTTACTATGCGCAATACCAAGCATTGATATTAAAATTTATTACTGTTTTCTCTCTATAAATATATCCGATCTCTATTATTGTAAAAATATATCAGGAAAATATATCAGGATTCGGTGAGCCGCCAGGCAGCAGGCATAATTAAGGACTATATGCACATTAGTATATTGTAAGAGTGTAAGAGCCGAAATAAATAAGAGCTAAAAGTTCAGATTTTGACGAAATATATATATATATATATATATATATATATATATATATATATATATATATATATATATATATATATATATATATATATATATATATATATATATATATATATATCAAATGTAATATTAACAAACTAGCTGCTACTATATATACCGAAAAATGACAATAAAACCTTAATTGATGTTATGAGAATTTAAGTTTAATAATAGAAGTATATTTAAATCTAATTGATCGTTAAGCAATACATGTGAATGTCTCATTTTGTTAATCTCCATGGCTTCCAATAAATTTAATTTTCTACTTTTTGTAGCTGTATGTAAAATATCAAAATTGTCGTCAAAAATGTGTTTTGCTGTGTTTAAGTGTGTAGCATAATTAGAATCTAGACTATTGTTTTTAAACGCTCTTTTATGTTCGTTAATGCGTTTCTCTTTGTCCAATATAAATTTTAGGACATGATCCGCATTTTAACCTGTAGACAGCTGATTTGTGAGATTTTGGACACATTTTTGACGATAATTTTGATATTTCAGTTCAATTTCCTACGGTACGTATTGCTCCAGAAAACCAACGACACAATATTTAAGAAAATTGAATTCCAAAAACGCAGAGACTGCTAAATGACAAAGGTTAAAAAATTCGATATCCCATTAAATTATTGAACCACTTCGGTAACTATTAAGCAATGTGTGTAATAATGAGAACCTTTCACATGAGTAACAATAAAGTACGACATTTAAAAATAATGATAAGACTCTCCTCGTATTTGAACTTAAAAAAATCTAATTTTAATGGCTGGTACTGCAACTGGTAACACATGTATAGTAAAATAAAGGATGAGAAAAAAAACAGTAAATTACCTGGCAAAGTGGGTCGGCCTTGATCACCGCTGGGCGAAGCTTGGGGTGACGATCCTATTGGTCTTGGTATGTTGGGAACATCTGGATGGGTTGCTCGCCAATAAGCCTAACCCAAATTTAATGTCCGTTTACAAAATATTTTTTAATTAATTTTTAAGGCTGTACTTAACGATATGGAAGCAATAGACATACTGATTAAAAAACTTGACTATTTTGCACCCCGCTGAAACTATCAATCGTAGGAGAGGGCTTAGGAAAATATAAGAATTTATTTTCTCAAGGGATTGCGTTAAAATAAAGCTAACAAACCAAGAAATGGGTTCGCCTGAACCAAGGAAGCCAAAAATGAGACAAGAAGAAAGTGTAATGACAGTAAAGAGAGAAGGAAGGAGTGATACGGAGGTTACAAAGAAGCTAACACAGGAAATGGACATCAGAAAAATAGGAGTCAACAAAATTAGAAAAACTGAAATGTGCGACATCTTGGTAAATATACGAGGAAGCAAAAGTACTACGACAGAAAATAAAAACAAAAATAAAACGATCTTTGGTCACAACGAGAAAGACGGAAACAGCGATAATATATATAATGGGTATGGACCAAACCGTAAAAAAAAAGGAAGTGAAATATGCGATCGAAAGAAAAGTATAATTGCCAGTGACGTAAATGCAAAATCACAACAGTGGGTTCCCCAACTATAAACGAAAGTGATCAATAATGGACTGAGCTATTAGCAGCTTCAAACCTTGCAGTTCACAACACATGCGAAAGCAGTACCTTTTTGAGGGGAAGTACGCATGAACTATTGTAAACTGGAAGGTACTAGAGAAAAAAAACTTAACTAAATATAAGCATACATACTATGAGATGAAAAAGGGGAAAGTACCTGCGAGGGGGAAACAAAAAAAAATATAAGACGCAGTAGGAAATCGAAGGCCCAGCTAGAGTAAAAGTGGTCCCATACTGCTGGAAGTACTGCACAAGTACCAGAAGACAACTTACTAGAATACTGAAAGCGACAGTGTGAGGAAAGAAAACGCTAAGCGAAAACATCAAGAAAAAAGAAAGGAACTCGCAAGACTGATAAGAGAGTCCAGTACAGAGCATTGGGATAACTTATATGGGGTATAAGACTGCAATAAAAGGTTTAAAAAACCTAACCCCCTCAAAAAAATGAGAGTAGCTTTAACTCGAATAAAAATAGGAAGGGCTCCCGGACTGGATAGAATACCACCCGAAGCAGAGTTTTCCCATGGAATGGAACATTGTGAAAGTCATACTAATACCGAAACAATCAAAACCCGGAACTCCAAGTGCCTTCGGGCCACTCTGTCTAGTTGTCGCAGACTATATGAAGAAATGATAAAGGAGACTGGAAGAAGAAATTGCAGAAAAAGAGGGAATAACGAAACGCCAATACGGGTTTACAAAGAGGCGATCAACAATACATGCAATATAGAAAATTAAAGAAACAACAGAGAAGCGAAAAAAAAAACTGGAATGCCTTAGTAACACTGGATGTCCGCAAAGCTTTTAACTCAGTTAACTGGAATTTGATACTGCAAAAACTAAGAACGTGAAAGATATCGAAATATCTCTTCAATATCATTGAGGAATACCACAAGGACAGACACATACAGGTTTCTAAACAGGAAACACTTGAAATTAAACCAGAGTACTACAGGGATCCATACCAGGACCGACACTTTGGAATATCTTGTATAATGACGTATTTAAAATTACATTATAAGGACGAAAAAAGACCAAAACACCAAAAGAGAGTATTAAATATCTGGGAATCTATTTTGACAAGCACGGTTATTTTGGCGAACATGTTAGCAGGGTCTGAGGACAGACTTGGTAAATTGATACGACTTATGAGAAATATAGGAGGGCCTTCTAGTGGAAAGGGTGTGGTACTGTGTGGGGTGGTGCATTCAAAAGTAAAAAGGAACTATACACCCATGGACACCATGAATTCAACGTAGGGTCAAACGCTTTGGAAGTGAGGTAAACGAAGTTTGCACGAACCGTAATGACATTGATACACCAGAGCACACAGTATCCGTCTGCAATATCTTGAAAAATACTATACTGGAGACGGTGGATTCGTGGCAATGAAATTAAAGTTAGAGAATGACACAAATTTCAACTTGATAAATTACAATTTTATAAAAAACTCACCTCCAAGTATTCCGCTATATGTTCGCAAGCGTCTTCGAGTTGGTTCTCGTCTAATATGACGTCGAACATTTCCGGCGGACACTGGGCAAGTTTTTCCGCGGCGACCATTTGTACGTTGAGGTGCCGCGTCTGACTTTTCCCTCGAGATTTAATTAACCTTTGCAAAACCTAAAATCATGCGTTTAGGTCGCACGGTAAATATCAACGGCGAAGTCCTTTTTACCTTAGGACTAGATATTTTAAGGTACACGATACACGGTGCCAACGAGGTTTTCGCGAGCTGCGAAGGATGGTTTATGGTATCACAATCTAGCACGACCAGTTGCATCGTCGTCGCTAGTTCGAATATCCGCTCGATCTCGGCCTGAACCTCCGAAAGACACGACGACCTTGTCGCTGATCGTTCCATGATCGCTCTCTTCGACGGGTTGTTTAGCAGCGATCGCTTTGCCAGCGAAATGTCTGCCATTACCCGCGTTATAATTATTCTGAAACAAATTTAATTGGATTGTATCCATCCACCAATTAGCCACCAGCAGTCAGTTAAATGCCTATCTATTTTAAATAGACAAGACGCTAATTCTTCTACCGGATTTATGGTGGCTTTTAATATATGTATGTTTTAATAAAATGAATGGATGAAATTTCAACGTTACATATTTTTACAATGGCAATAGCAAATTATTTTATATCTAATGGATACCTGTAAATTCTTAATAATTACGAGCTCAACATTCCAAATTGGGAATTTGGATAGAGGACTTTAGTTATTACTTAATTTTTGCTGGTATATTTGGCATATTTGATACGTGAGATTCGCAAATCTGTGATTGGGTAGAACTACATAAAACCCATTTAATCGTTTAAAAGAATGGCCAGGTAACTAGTTCAAGATTCCCGACTCTAACAAGTTAGAGTTAATTACTATAAGAAGGGACCAGAAATTCATTGGTATAATATATCCCAGACCCTATCTACATTTACAGGAAAGTTATCTATCTGACCACTTTCAAATATCTCACAGCCATGTTTTTTGTCAGGTTTCTCAAAGCAATTCTACTCTAACAGTAAAAACTGTAACCTCTAGTCCTCTGCGCAGAAATGCAACAAATTGATAAAAACAAATTGCCATAGGGAGTCGCGCATTTAGGTATTTAGTCAACAAAAATTATAAATATAATTGTGTTGTACTGCAATAATACTGCAACATATCACAAATTGTTTTCATCATTCATCATTCATTGTGTCTCGCGCGTGTTATGATGCCATTGATTTCCGGGTGTCATCCTTACCTTCCTTCGAAGCGATGCTTTAAAAAATCAAATAAGGCTTTTTGCATCATATCCGTAACCTCGTAGCCCTTAAGCGAAGGTCCTACTAAAACTACGGGACGCATTGACGGTACTACGTCGTACGGCGCGGTGGCTTCTTGTTTTTTGAAGAATGGTTTTTTCTTCTCCTTGGCGGGTGGGGTTGTAAGGGATTTGCCTGACCGCGGATTACCCATCGAATCCGATTCATCGCCTTGAAAAGCCACACAAGTCGATAAGTTATTAATATGCAACAAAATACTCAAAACAACACTGATAACTACCGGAGGGACCAATACAATTTGTCTAAAAGCTTTTGATGAAATGCTACTTACTTAATCTATTCAAATGATGATTTAATTAAATTTTAATTTAGAAAACGATCCTTAAAATAAAAGATGCTTTCTAGGGTTTTGATCTCCACCAAAACTCAATTTTATGATTTCTCATGATAGTGAGATACAAAACAATTAAATTGATAATCATCAAGTTTTTTTGTAGGAACTGTAAGTTACATGCATATGCAGTAATAATTTAACACATTTTTTTGGTTAATTAAAAATCACACACATCTTTTTTTGAGAGCTGTTGGATAGCCTATAGGTGAAGCTTGAGAATGAAATGAGAAAATTTGATATTAATATATTAATAATATTACTTTAGAAGTTATTATACGGCAACAGCCGTTGATTCAGCGGAAATATAGTATAGATGCGGAACATTGAATTAACCTTTTCTTTATCAAAATTTTCTACAAACAAACATTGTCAAGCGTCACTGTGATTGATGTATGCAATCCAGAAAACAACAAGTAAGATAAACCACAACTAAAATACAATGTCTCCAAGATGCGCAGCAAAGCCATTGCGGAAATGATAAAAGCTACGGGGTCAATTAAACTAAAAATGCACATTTATATTTCCCACCATACCTAATTAAATTAAAATTTTCATAATACCTACCCTACTTTGTAAGTTACTTTTGAAAATAGTTTCATTAAAATTCATGGTCATTTTTTGGCTAATGATTTTTTTTTGGTTGTATTCAAAATATAACACAACCAAACACAATTTAAATATAATGCATTTTCCATAATTACAAAGCAAACCAGTAATACAATTCAATACCAAGTAATAATTAAAAAAAAAGTTTAGAAAAGGACAATCACAAAAAGTTTCATTGGTTAAGATGGTAAAAGTGGCTATCCAAATGAAGAATTATTGGAAAACGCGTTTGCCAAAATAAGCTGGAAAAGAATTTGGGCTCTTTTCTGACATTTTTGAAAGACATAGTTGTTACGTAACTATTATGCGTTCTGATCTTGCAATGACTCTATCCTGGACACAATGTACGTAGACAACTTCACAATAAATTCCAACTACGTATTTCAAAGCACATTGAAAATAATAATTTCAGAAAATTTCAATTTGATTCCTGTCGTCCAGATTAAAATCAATCATTTCGTTGCTACATTTACCAATACAGTGAAGACGCCCCTTTTCCATGTACTATGATTTACGCAGTGATAACTAAAGAAGTGCAAATATAGTGCGAAGAGATAATTTAAAGGAATTATAGGACTAAACAAAATAATTCACTAAAACAAGAGAAATACTGCTGGGACGGACGATCAAGAACTAGTAGGTTATCTATAACTAGTTTGGAGGAGGACACGGTTGAAAAAAAAATACATGATGCAAAAATTTTCAATTTTGGTTGCCACATCATTGAATTAAATTAAAAGTGCTCCTTTCTAGTAAAAAGGTGGAATATACTTTTACTTCACACTAAATATGGAACAAAAAATTGTTGTTTACAATTATTATATTTAGTTGACCCCTAACAATATGAAAAGAGTAACATTTTGATGATCAGATCAGTTTAGATCCTTGTTTTTATCTGCACCTTATTCAGTTTTCATCTAGACTTCATTATTAACAATTAATTGATAACCAATGATAATCATATATGTGTACTAGAATAGACATATTAAATATGTGCCCTTTTTTGTGAAAAAGTATTAATTAAGTGTTTCTTACATAGCCTTAGTTAAAAAATAAAGAGCTTCACATTTTATAATAAATTGTATTCTTTTATAGAAAGAAGCACTCTTAATACCCAGCGTATATACAAACCTGATTTGGCAAAAATAAAAAACATTGATTAATAATAGATAACATTGAGAGTGCCACGACATCAAAATCATTCCATCGCATCCACGGATATCAATAAAAAATAATTAAAAATTTCCGAAAATCGATTTGGATGGGACATACCAGGCGTGGGAGGAGTGCTACCTCTGGAAGCATCGTTACCCGCAGCACCGATGTTTGAACTAGAGCTGGTCTTGCTCGAGTACAACTTGGTCGTCCTCGTCGACACTTGCTGCTGTCGCAGATTCTCTAGCTTCACTGGAGACGGAATGAAACCTATATCACAGCCTTCCTTTACTAACCTACCGATCCACCAGTTGTTATCGTACTTTTCCTGAAACGAGATCAACATCGTGGTACATGCAAAATGACGTGCTCTTTCGAAATGTTAAATAAAAAATGCAGGTCTGTAGTTAAAAAATTAAGTTGATGATGGGCACACAAAACCGAAAAGTCAAACTTGATACTTAATAATGTCAACTTGTAGGGGAGAAAAAGTGTCATTTGTTTTCAAAAATTGTTTTAATTAAAACCAGGAAAAAATTTAAAAAAACAAAAATTGATGATTTTCGGTTTTTCCAAATATCTCTGGAACTAATCTGAATTTTCGACATTATGAAACGGTTTTAAATGAAGCATCAAAATGCCTCTATTTAACCGACGACGAATCTCTTACGGTTTACGGGATCCCAATAGTCCCGCGAAACAGCGGAATTCCAGTTTTTCAAAATATTTTCAAAAATACTTCACGACTTTTAATCCCAATCAGTTTAAATACTTTCTATCTGGGGACGCAGCTCTAACTTTCGGCGTAATTTCAACTTAGTAGCTCGAAATTTTAGATACTAACTGGACTCGCCGAGCGATAGAACGAAAGAAAATTTGAAATTTCAAAAGTTTAATAGTTGGCCGACTTCAAAAAATGACACAAAAAAAAATGTATTTTCGATCACTTGGACATTACTGTACTCAGGGTTTATTGGGAAGTGTAGACGCTTTCGCGAAAGCCGATTTCATTCTTTTCACGATAGAAACAAAGTAAATAAATCGATCTCAAACCTTTCTAAGGACTGACAAACAATTTTTTACGATTATTGTCCAGAATTCTGTAAAACTGGGTTGAAACTCGCTTGATTATATATTATCAGAAAGACGCGTAACACAGAGTAGGAAAACCTAGGCAACATTGTGTTGAATTTACGCTTTTATGTTTGCGTCTCCGTGCGCATATAAAATTCAGTCAACTAACTAACCTTAATATGTAAAAAGTCTCGAACGTCGAAAGAGATTGCGTATCCATGGACCGGCGAATCATCATCCAGCGTTCCGTCATACGTCACGTTCGTTCTAACTGCGAATGCTACCGACTTTGCCTGAAAACAATTACAATTTCAACATTATGGAACGGATGCAAAATTATTAGTTTCGGTTTAATAAAACAATTTTAAAATTACTTCTTTAAAGTTTTTGAGTTTGAGTTTAGTTTTAAGTTTGGCGTCCTGTTTCCGCAACAAGAAAGATAAACAAATCATGGTAATTATTTTAGTAGTTCATTATGTAAATTAGTGAGCTTTTGAACCTTCAAATTTTTCTTACACATTTACTTGAAGATTTTGTAGTTCCGACCATATGCCAAAGTTGGGTTATTTCCGGTCATAGTTGTCCGGTTGGGCGGGATAAGGTTACGAAAAAACAGCCTTTTATATTTTTTGGACCGAACAAAACATGATCCGGCACCAGGGTGGGGTCCAGATTTACCAGTTCCATCATAGTATAGACATTTATTATTAAGCTCCGCGTATTGCTTTGAGCGTCATCTCAATCAGATGTATGCAACCGTAATTACAAATATTTCCGAAAATTTGGATGAGAATGACGGTTCTTACAAAAATAAAACTTCAATATTTTTACTGTAAATTCCACGACGTTTAATTTAAAAAGTTTAAAAAACTTTCATGATGAATCGTTTAATTTGATAATCGCAGAATCTGTGAATTTTATATTTATATCTTTCGATATAAATTATAATAACATAAAGGTGTCAAATTATAACCAGACACTCTGTACATGTGTCAATATACACTGTGCTTATTAAGAACTGATATTACGATAAGCAAAAGATTATAATAAAAATAACATGATCAGTTCTTTAACAATTGAGCCGTTAAAAGAAAAAGTGGTATACATCATTTTTGAGTTATACCAGCTGGCTTTCTGGTTTCTACAGAGGTTTCTAATACCATTTGTCTCTGCGCTCTACTCCTAGGACCTTTTTTTTAGTGTCACCCATATGTCACTTACTGGTTATTAACGGTTTATGTTGCACGCACTATTGCTCTGTTTGGTTGACATTAACTTAAAAGGTTAGGTTGATTATGTTTTTCCTTATTTTCTAAAAAAAAATTCCTTATCGCAACTGACAATGTAATTGTAAGACGCAGAAGCCCACTTGAATCACAACCAACAAAGTTCCGTGCACACCTCATTTTAATTTAGAAAACAATGGACATGTTTGACGTTGATTTTATTCAAATCATATTGAATTTTGTAAAATTTTTCCTCGCTAGGGTCCTAATATGCTGTGTGTGGCTAAAATCTACCGGAAACATCCGTTCGCAATCGAACCCGCGGCCAAAGTACCGAAAACGCCCAAAGTAGCGGCTTAACGCAACAAAGATCTTAAAGTAATACTTTACACAGCCTTGATCATTGCATAATTGGTTATTTTAATCTAGGTGGAAAAAAACATTAAAACAAATACTGGACGAAAATTAAATTGCTTCAGAAATGATTAGAGATTAGAGAAAATAAAGTGTGGTACAATAAATAAGTCCCCTTGATACATATATGCAAATTTCATTAAAAATTGTGGTTCACTTAATAATGCCTCTTGATACATAGTACATGCGGGCCAGATTTCATTAAAATATCTAAAATGGTATTACAAATATTAAAAAAATATTTTTTATTTTTGGAAACTTTACGACCCTGTATTTCAAAAGTTCACATGAAGTTTTCTTTTTGAAATGGATCCAAAAACCGCCCCCTAAATTATTGACATTCAATTAGAAAACACCCTGTATAACATATAAAGGAAACACACTAGAAAAATGAAAAATGTCCAAAACTAGCTAAAACTGATACGGCTGCCGTTCTCGTAAATCTCATATATTTCACGAATTTTTGCCAAATACCAAATTAACTGCCGCATTCAGAAGTTGTATAGCAAGGTGAAGAATCTAATTGACATTGATCTATATCGGCGTATTTAATGAAGCGTTGGAAAAAAAGTTATTTTTAAAGAATTTTCGCATAATCTATTTGCGAATGCTAGGAACCAAAACCTCGAAATATTTAACAGCAGTTACGTGTAGGTATTGTAAACAGGCGCATCCGCATTCTAGTATTTTTAGATTTCGCTAATGTTTGGTTTTTCTCGAAACGCAAGAATGTGTTTCGTCTGAGAATATCGATATCGAAGCTTTTAATGGTGGTGCGGAACGATAAAATGACAAACTTTTGCGTTCAGCGTCATTCATATGAGTGACAAAGAAAAAACCGAAAACTCTTGGCAATGGTTCGAACTTTTTGCCATTTAGTGAATATGTTAAACTGAAACGGTCAATAATTAAAATGAATGAGAATGTTTGTTGTAAACAAAATCGGCTTGGGCAATTATTTCAAAGCACTAAATGCCAAAAGATAATTGGCGTTTCTGCATAAGTAGAAAAATTTAATAAAATAAACAGCAACGAGAATTACCCTGGCTTTTTCCAGCTGACTGAGGGCCGCCCTCTCTTTCTCCCTTCGAAGGGTTTCTTTTTCCTCGTCGAGCGACAGGTCCGATGATGGCTGAGAATAATTTGAATCAGCAGAGCCCTGTAACAAAATATTAAATATTTACGAGAACAACTTTCTTAATAAGGAAAATACTGGCGTTTAGGTTAAGTTTAAAGAAAATAATCTCATCTTAAACTTACTTATTTACCAGTTTTAATTAGCGTTATGAAATTATGTGTATGGGATTCATCATTATTTGCGTTTCCTTTCGTATCAATTGTAATTTGTACAATTCCACATTTATGTATAAAAATATTATATTATATATTGTTATTGTTATTCAAAACGAGTCGTTCTTATAATAAACGATAGCTTTCAAGGAGAAAAAATATAAATAAAATTATTGCATGTTGAGCAAAGGCAAAGAAAATAGTATTTGAATTTTCAAATAAAATGAGTATAATAAATGGGTACAAAATCCATTTAGCAAGACGTCGACACACATCACACATCTTTGTTCCCATTAAAACACACATTTGGGTCTGTGTGTCTCTCTGATCGAGTTTGGCTTAGTGTTAAAAGCGGATATCTACAAATAACCTTCATTTCCTCCGAACTTATCGTTACAGTGAAAGAATTTGATTTTTCGCATTCAACTAAAAAGAACATTCGCTTTATAAAAAGAAATTGATGAAATTTTACATTATAAAAAGTAGATAAATTAAATGCAACCTATTTCCACACAAAAATATAAGAAATGCTTTCTAGAACATATTTTTTGTCTAGCTCTTCTGCTAAAGTCTTCGTCTTCAAAAATCGCAATAAAGAGATTGGCTTTCATTTAGGTGCTGTTCCAACTCTTTTGAGGATGTCATGGGTATCAGACATCTTGTAATATAAGGTTTCATGACTCGTTAGAATATAATTTTATGGCATTTGCAAAATTTTCACGGCATATTTGTCTTTTATTTATGTTCTTATGTTTCTAGTCTATTCCTAAGTCTTCTTCTGATGATCCATGACATCTTTCTTCTACTGCACGTACCGTTGGTAATAAATATATTCAAGAATCATATTTTATTTATTAAACCTGTTTACTTTTCTCGAACTTTTTTAATACATCTAAATTAACTGTGTGACCATGGTTTCCTTTTCATAATGGGTTTGGTCACGATATCTTTGACTGCAGATAAATGTGCTTAAAACGCACGTAGCCAAAGTTTGTTAAATCATAAAATTATTATAATATATAGCGTTTAAATTGAAGCATTCATCAAAATATACTGCCTGCTTTCCCAGACAATATCCGTTTGATAGTTTGTTGTTGTTGTGGTTTCATGAACAAGAATGATAATACGACTATATTACAAGTTGCCGGTTTTCTCAACCTCCTAACAGTTTTTTCAGAAATTCTATCCATGGTAATCTTAATAAAGAACATAACGTTGAAAATCTAGAACTAAGTAGTTCCTACTTAACATTAAGAGCAAATTTAAAATAAAAAAAATTCCATGTATCTATTTCTTTTGATAAAGACACGGTGTTGTCGAAACAATTATCATGTAAAAATATATAACTTCGTGAAAATCTGAACTTTTAGTTGTTACTTATTTTTCTATTTCTTAGAGTTTATGCTTAGCTTCAAAGGCAATAGATTTAGTAACCTAGGTTCTGTCTAGAGTAGTTCTTTGAGTAAAGGGGAATTTTCGGAGTGTCAAATTTGGCACAGCTCTAGTGTATAACTCATGAGTTATCTGATTTTGAAATACTTTAAGTATATTTGTATATAGATGTAAGAAAATCTTATATAATAATAAGATGTCTTGACAGCGATTCTCACCTGCATGGTTAAAAAATTAAAAATAACATTTCAAATTAAACGCTATTAATTAATTAATTATTTTAAGATGTGCTGCTTTTAATTACCTTATATCACAATTTTAGGAGAAGAATAAGTAAAAAGTTGTCGCATCACTTCATTTGTTCTATTTATTCAAAGTTTCGACTCGATACGAGCAAGCTACATTTAAATACAGATAACTCTAATTGGATAGTCTGGTGTCTCATTTAGGAACTGACTTTAAATTTGACGTATAGAAAAAGGTTTCATTTCATAAATGGGTTCCTTATCCTACATATCGGTGACAGCTAGTAGTATTCTACTCCACAATGTTGATGTTCATGGTGTAGTTTGGAAAGTGTTTAGTAGAAATGAGATACACTGGGTTAATTAAACATACACAGCGAAATGGAATGCACGGACGAACAAAACCATGAGCGGCACCCCCTTTAGCGGTGGCTTAAAATAAAAAAAAAAACATTATCCGTTATTTCCCTCTAAATGGATACGAACAATGTTTTTAAAGAACTTCACGACAAAAATCTCACCTGAACGAGCACAAAATAAAGGTATTAATAATTAAATTCCGTACGCGCCAACAACGTTTGGATAAGCGTTTGGATTTTCAGCGAGAAGTATCAGTAAACGAGCACGATGCATGATTGACCAGCATAGGTATAACAGAACTTATTTGAGATTACTCCTGTAAGCAGCGAAGAAATTGAACATTGATAGTCAAAAAATATCAGATTAATATAACCATGGCGTAGTTGAAGCAAGATAGGCATCGACATTAAAATAATGGAGCCAAAAAACGAGATTTTGTTTCGTGTATCGTGTTTCTTACAAAGATAATTCCATATATTAATAGTATATTCACACATATTTTATAGAGGTTTCCTTTAGACGCTACCTCTCTTTAACGGAGATGTAGTTCTGGTGTCCTCTGCATGGGTACTATCTGTTATGATTGAAAAATAAAGCTAAGCAATAAGAAATTGAACTTAATGTTGCTTAGCTTTTATTGGAGAGGCAAAACCAGAGTGCAAACATGCGTCGGCGACCAAACAAATTATACCCAAATACCTTACCAAATGTTCCCAAAGGTTGTCAGATGTATATTTTATGGTTGAATGTGATTGCACACCTCGGAAAGCACAGATTGACATGACTAAAGTAGCAAGATGCAAAAAAAGCTGTACCAAAAAAGCTTACCAACAACTTCCACCTCTCCGACTTAAATATCTTTTTCCAAAGCATTATCATGTTTGACGCAGGGGTACTATCATCTGAATCGGCGATGCTTTCCACATTACGAGCCCAATTTTCGCGTCAAACACAGATTTCATAATAATTTTACGATAACTTTATTGACCAGTAAAACATGCTTTGATTAAATCCGACGGTTTTTATTATCGCCGTGGAACAGGATATGATTAAGTAATTAAATTAAGGCATTATAGAGGGAATTCGATTAAAAGAAAACTCAAAATATACGGGTATTTATTAATATCGCAGGGGACTCTATAAAAATGTTGTCTTTGGCAGAAAATGTCAAGGTAACAAAAATTCCACCACTTCTGCACGGTGCTTCTATTTGGGTAGAGTTTTTTTTTCGGATCGGCAGCTCAAAGTTGGGTAGAACGACGTATCTCACCTGGGTGAATAGTTTATTGTATCCTTGGTTGTAGCTGTTGTATCCCATCATTTTGCGACATCTCCAACGGTCGATAGCGCACCAACCGACCCGGAACTATGATATTGTGTGTATACTACTTCGTTAAAAAACTCTAGTTTCGTATAAAAACGTCGACTTTGTAAAAACCACCAAAACGCACGCAACGCAAGCAAATTGAAATATATTAACGGACTAGTTACGGTACGGAACGAAACGTTAACGGTCTAGTAGTGGTAAAAAAAACTACATAACGAGGCACGTACTACAGCTACGGATTGTAATAGTCTATGAAAAGTAAAAGAAGAAAATGTTCATTTTCTGGCGATTGTGAGAAAAGCTCGGCGAGCGTACATGTTTGATAGCAGAGGTGGGGTTGGTTGTGTTTGTTGACGCGCACGCGCGGTTATTGATTTTGGCCGCGGTTAACTTTCAACCGGCGATGCCAGTTTGCGGAAAATGTTTTCATTGTTAAATCCATACAGGCGAATTTCTGATTCGACACCAAGCCGGATATCGCGGAGGAAAAATCTATAAAATCAAACGCTATTCAATGGACAGGTAGGTGTCTTTGGTCTTTGCTTCCTATTGCAGTGGACCAGGTAGGATTGAAAGCTGGGGGCCAAATAGTATCTCAGTATACATGGAGGATAATGCAGGGTTGCTCAGAGGAAACGCATGTCAGCCAAGTGTACGTCTTATTCAGGGCAGCACGTTGCCGACTTCTCTTGAAAGTGGTACATTACTCTTAAACAGTTTGTTCTAGTTCTTTGCAAGTCAAGTCTGGAGTGCGTGGGGATGAAATAAAATTATTACCGAATTCATGGCATATCGATTACTTCAATCAATTTAGTTATTGCTAAGTTTTGGGTTAGGACCTTATTTGACGAAAACACTGTGTTCTCGTTTCTTGTAGGAATCATTTGTCACTCTCTCCTTAAATTACCAATAGCGGAAGAAATATCCGCGATATACTTTTTGTATTCTATTTTTAGGTCCGCTCCTTGACAAACCTAACTTTCGTAGAAAGAAATTCACTATAACAACACAAATTTTGCCGGGCATGATTAAGAGTCTACTTGGTTCAGTTAGTCTTTATAAAGTTTTATTTAAACATAAATATCCGATATAAAAAACATGTAAATCATGTACTAAAACACTTATTTGAATATAATTTTAACTTTCACAATCTGCAGAAACAACAAAATTTAGCAAGCAATTCTTTTAGTGCTAAAAACGACATAAAAATCTATAACTTTGATGCGACTTTGGTATTGCGCAAATCGTTATTTGGACTCCGTAAAACTAAAAGATATTTTATCATATCTTTTCAAGATCGTAAAACTAATGTCAAGAGAACATCTACACGAAAAATTAATTGGCAAAAGAAAGTCATAAATTTATTCTGCTCTTTACTATAAGACTTTACTATAAAGAAATGTTTCCCAAAAATTGTGTGTTCTACTACGCACGTTTTATGGTGAAGTCGGATATATTCAGACAAAAAGGAATAAAAATTACAAACTTATTCAAAAAAAGTAATTAATTAAACTAACATTATCGAAGTGTTGTACTATCTAAATG